TTTAACATTGTCGTGAATCTCAGTCTACATACATGTCAAAAACATGTTCAACATCAACCCATAAGAGTTTTACCTAAATGCATTCATAAAACAAATATGTGATTGTTTCTGTGCCACCACTCTAGAAGACCCAGAATTCAGAAGTGGTTTGTTGAATAGATTAAATTAACATTTTTAAAATACACTTAACTAAAAAATTGTTAAAGTAAACTCAGATTAATTTCCAATTTATATTCTCAAAGTGATTATTCCAATAGTTTGCAGCGTTATGTTGCATACTTGTGCTTTTCCTACTATAATTCAAAACATCTTCTATAAATACCAGGTTCATTTCTTGGCCATAACCAAGGCTCAATCCCCGTTACCTCATACACAAACATCACCCCTGCAGAGATTTTCTTTTTAAAATTATTTATTTATTGATACAGCAGCAGAAACATCAGGACTGCTCAGCCCCTGGAGAGAGGTTGGTGAGTCAGCCTTCACACACTGCAGTACATAAATACAAGCCTTTCTCACAGAGAACATGTCGACTAACCAAATAAATGTAATAACATAAATGTCTCCATCACTTTCACTACGCAATAGTAATAGTAATAGGGTTACTATCTCCAGAAGCAGAAATGGTGGAAGATGGAACAACCAACTTTGGAAACTGTTGCTAGGCTCTGAGAAAAACAGAGAGTGATTCAGCTTCCTTTGAGACGGCGGCACCAACATTTGCACCACTTGACCAGGTGGAGAAAAGTTGAGAAGTTGTCTGTTCATCATTAATGTTATTTGCAGCTGTTTTGTTCTCATGGTAAGTCAAAATTTCCTCTGTGAAAAAGGCATGCATGTGTGTCATTGGGAACTGGACGTTGGCTTGAGCACAGCATGGACACTGGAAAGCAGTGATGTAATCGTCTTTGTGTTGGAGTCCATTCTGACAAAATTGATGTTGATCATTGCACATACGGTTCTTAATATACATCAAATCATCCATAATAGTGTATTACTGTCCTGTAACTCAAAAACACAGAGACAACAAGTAATATTTTTCCGATGCGGCGATTGCAGTCCAAGTGTCCAGCTGTACCCTTAACGTCAGGAGCCGCATTTTTGCACAGCTGTCTCCGAGGACGCCCCCGAGCCGACTGCTCCAACGAGACCTCCATCAGGTTCTGGGCTCAGTGCGGCCGCTGAGGCGATTCCCCTCGACTCCTGTCCCGCTCTCATTTCAGCTGAGCAGAAAAAAGACACCCATGTGAGTCAGTGACATGCACATAATACTCCTCTAATACCCCTAATCTCATGGACATGCTTCATGACATAATGCTAAGACTAATTAAGAACCAAGATTTCTGAGCAGGGTGTTGTACAAACAGTGTTGAGTTTGGTGCATAAGGTCATAAAATTAGATTTAGATTGTTTGATAAAAAAAAGACATGGTTAACAATAGTTTCACCCTCTCAACAGTGAGCAGTTGACCATCCTCTAAAAGCTAAAATAGCTGCAAGGATTACACAGTTAAGGTAAACAACTATCTGTTTATTCTCACGAGTCTGTATACAAAGTTAAATCTGATCTACTAGTCTTTCAACTACGAGTTCTTCCTGTTTTTCTTGCAGGAGTTGTAGCAGGTGTCGTCACTGTCTTACCTCTAGCACTACATGGTGTTATGATGGGCTTTTCCAGTTGCTCTCCAGCGGTGATGGAAGCCCGGATCTTCCTGACCACATAGATGCTAGCTATAGGATAAGAGGCAAAAAATTAAAAGATGTAAACTGTACATGAGTAGAAAAACTGTAAGTATCATTGTGAAGATGTTTTGCATGTAAACACGGTGTCTTCAAATATCAAACACATAAAAACAAAGCTATTTGCACTCTAAATTGATAGATAAATAAGTGGGAAAACAGCAACAAAGCCTTAAAGTATCATTATGAAAAAGTCTTTTAAATAAACTGTCCTTACATACTGTATATTCAGACGTGGAAGATGATAATATATTTAAGTAAAAGTATCACTACCACATGTGGAAATACACAAGTCATGCATTTACTTAAAAGTACAAGAGTATTAGCACATTTACATTCAAATAAAAGCACCTTTTACACAGAATATTACATATTATTAACAATAATTACTGATGTATTGATATGTATCGCTTTATTGGTGCAGCTGGTAAAGGCAGGGCTCATGCTAACTACTTTATATATTGCTGAGCAGCTTAATCATAATAATAATACATCACAAATGATTGATTATAGTGTTTATAATCTACAGTTGCATCGGCTCACATGACTGCTTTCATTACACAGGAAACAAAGCTTCGTGATAGGAGGGCGTAGCCGCGGTAAACTACGGTTTTATTATATTAAATGTACAAAAAACAATAAACAAATCCTACCTTTTATTAACAGTCAGACCATTGTTGCTTCCTGTTTTGCTGTCTAGGAGATTTAGCCTTCTCTGTTCCGTGTAAAAGCTTCTTTCTCTTTCTACGACCTGCGATAATATTACCCGAGCTGTCACAAAAGCAAACAGCCAATTACATATCGCGGATAATACCGGGGGCGGGACTTAAAGCTCCAAGCTGCATTCCTATTGGCTGAGATGTTACACAAGCTAGCATAACGTAATACACATGACAGGTCCACAGGAAAGAGGATTGAGATATGTAACACTGTCATAAAACTTGACTGATTAGTTAAAAAACAGCCTTGACAACGATCAAGTATTAATAGGAGTTCAAATAATTCAGATAACTGCAGAGGACCACTACACTTACAACTCGCCCGCCACATTCATCACAATATTTAATTCAACATTCTCCATATATTGTAGAAAAGGACCCTAAATTATTTCAAAGAGTGATTGTTTCCCTTAAAAGATGTATGTCATCCTTTCCAGCGGTTATGGATAACTCATCAATCCAATTAATAAACTTTGGTTTACCAGTCTTTTTTTCCAAGAAAGTGAGATATCTGTTTTTGCAAGCAGCAGGCAGAGATTTAAGACAGCAATATCTTTCTTGGATGCAAGAAGTTTGTCAAGTTATAAACCAGGAATGAAAAACAAATTGTGGTATTTTATTTACGAGAAGGATCTGAATACTTTTTAAGATTTAGAAAGCAAAAAACTATAAAATACATGGAAATGCCTACTAATCTGAGTATGGTGTGTTAACTTTGAGACATCCTGAGTTAAGTGTTAGGAGTCCTCTTCTCGATTGTAGTCTACTTCCTTTTATTTTACTCATAGATAAATCCCATGATGTGTATTCCTTGTTTCTCACACTAACTTATTTCTTCTTTCTCTTACTTACAAATATCTTAATGTTAGAAACAATGTCTCCACGATGCAAATATTATCTTACTTGTCTGTTGTCTATTAGCAGAAATTATCAGAATATCACGGACAGGTAAAACAGATTGTACTGATATGTTTCATGTGAACTATGTCTTTGGGCTTGACACAAGATACAAACAAACAATTCTGGGTGACAACACAGTTGCTTTCCAGTTCTTACAACATATTTGGAAATTAATAAAGATATTGATGGAAAAAAAATACCACAATTTAAAAAATACTCCATTACAAGTAGGCTTAAAAGTCCTGCATAACAAAATCTTATTTAATTAAAAGCACATACATTTTAATATACTAAAAGAGGTAAAAATACTAGCGCTCCAGAACAATGTCCCACTTGACTGATTATCATATCTCATATTTTTAGATACTGAAGCATTTTACTGTTGTAGCCAGTTGAGGTGGAGCTTTAACAGCTGCTACCCAACATACCAGGGATCATCACTGCATTCTTTATGATTTGGTGAATTGGACGTCATTGACCACTCGCAGACAACAGCACTGGTATATTTTTATCTAGACAGTTCAATACTGGGCAAACTTCCAGCCGACCTCTGCTCCCTTGTGTGTGTCAGCTCTGGTCGTTACCAGCTACGCTCCTCCAAGTGGTTGCTTTTTAATGTACCCAGGTTTTAACAGATCTGGGGAAAACTGCATTCTCCTACTCTGCACCTTGGACATGGAACAGTCTCCAAAAAGATCTACAATTAGAAATGAATGATGATGAATTTAAGGTCATCATAAAGAATGTGGTGACAGAGACATGTGCTTGTTTTTCTTGAGAGGCCACTGTGTTTGAATAGATGTTGTTTTATTGTGGATTTCTGTGTTATATGTTGTATTTGCTGTATTTTAATGTGTTTTGATTGGCCGTTACCTCGGCCACGTCTCTCTTGTAAAAGAGAATTGCAGTCTCAATGGGTTAAATTCCTGGTTAACTTTTTTTTAAAAATGTTTTTCAGTCCAAGGACCCCTTAACTGAAACAGAGACGGAGCAGGGTCCTTCTACTTCACATATAGTATAAAGCTGCATTGCATATTTAAGTGGGCAGATGGAGGTTGTCAGGCAAAGGGCCGTATCAGCCTCAGGCTGCAGTCTTGACCTTTACTTGCTTTTCAGGTAGTTGAGGGAGGAAACTACTTTTACAAAGATAAAATGATGCAAAGGCAAAGTATTCTGGATTTATGTAAATGTGTATTTTCAGAAATTTTCATTTTGGAAAGGAAAAAATAATACACAAAAAACAATAATTTGGCACCCCGCTGCAGTTACTCTGAGCCCCTGTTGAAAACCAACACTGTACAGAGTGATGCAGTTAAGTAGTTAAAGCATTCAGATTTCAAAGGCAAATGTCTTCTGGGTGAAACTGCTGAAAATTTAAAGACACCTGAAACATGGCATCCAGCTACACTCATAAATGTTAACAAGCCAAAAAGGTTGGGAAAAGGTTATTTTGAAACAGTACAAACAGTCTGGTGACCTGTCCAAAGTATACCCTGCCTCTCACCCAATGTCAGCTGGGATAGGCTCCAGCCCCGCTGCGACCCCTAACAGGATAAGCGGTTACAGAAATGAACAGTACAAATAGGAGTTTTCCAGAATTAAACACATGCTCCCAGTTAATGAAATGAAACACAGCCACAAGTTCCATGTAATAATTTAATATCAGGCATTTTAACGCGATTTACAGAGCTTCATTTATCCATGTCCAATCCAAACAACCAACATAATGATCAAGTATTCATGTCATCCAATATGCGTTTACCATCTGGAATAGAAGCAGGGTGAAACCTTCCTGGAATAAACACTGCGCAAATCTTCTTCACAATACAGCAGTTTGTCGTACAGTTGCATTTTGTATATTCAATATATACACATAGATTTCATTTAACTTAAAACAGGTTCACACAACAAGACAAGCACAACAACTTCACACAGGAACCATTCTTTCATATAATCACAATATTTTTTTTACAATAAAAAATACAGTTGCAATCACCAGGGGAACAAATGAGTTAGTGAGGAGTTAAGGTCGTAAGGAATGATGTGTGCAGAGGTTGATGAGAGGAAGTCTGAATTTGATCAAGCAGCTTCATGTGGGCAAATTGTAGAATAATGTTGATGTAAACATAAAGGTGACTCAGTATAACATCCTTCCTCCCATCAAGCTGTCACTGTATTTTTCACTGAACAAGACCTCACACAAAACACAAACATTCATAAGAGGGATCTCAGAGGACGGCTGGAGTGTCAGAGCTCAGGACTTAATCCATCCTGATCTTCTGGTTGGTCATCCTGTAGATGATGCTGTCATATCCCGGGTCCATGTTCCACAGGTTGTAAGAGATAGCGATGACGGCGAGGGCCAGAGCGATCATCAGCCACAGCACGATGTTGAACACCACAGCGTACTGGAAGTTGTACTTGTAGGCCAGGTTGTAAGGGCTGCCGGGGTTACTCTGCCAAAACATAAATTGCGAGATTTAAACCCGGAAAGGTGGACGCCTTAGTTTGAAAAACAGTCATGTAACCTTTTCATCTCTGCTGCTGTGCATGCATTGAGTAGCCAACAGGATGTGAGTGTGATAGAAGGAGGGCAACATCTAATAAGAGGCATTAACAGGACTATTAGGACTCGGACTCCCCCCCAAACCCTTTCACCCCTGTTCCCCCTTACTCATTTTTATTAGAGTGGCTGATCAAAGCATTCTTTGGTTCCAGACCTGAGTCATAAAAACCAAGAAGCATGGACTGGAACTGGGTTTATACTTCACGTAAGGGGTTAACCACAGTCCCACCATAAATTCCAGTGGCACTGATTCTTAGCTCAGTGCAACGCGACACTAGACACACATATTTTACATGATCAGACCATGCTGTACTTTAAAATACACTCCCCAGAGTTGTTGTGCAGTAGACCCCGTTTCACAGCAGACATTTTAACGTTAACGTTGGCTCAGCTCCTTCACGTGTCCCAGTAAGCCGTGACAGTGAGTCAGCGTGTACGATACCCAGACTGTGAAACACGCTCACCTTGATGAAATGCAGGCGTTTTTGATGTTAATATTTACACTGGTGCTTTTACTGCTACGACACGCCGAAATGTCTGCGGTGAAAAAGGTCTATGGCTGTTTTTATGTTCCTTCACTGTGATATAGAGCGGCGATTAGCGGAGCAGACAGTTTGCAGAGGAGATGCCTTGGCTGGATGTGTGATACTAAAACAGAGGAGATTACCAAGGCTGTACATGTGGTTTCATCGCAGCCCCTGATTGCAGTTAGATTTTTGAGATGCTGCATGTCAGCTATGGTGCAGATACAGCACCTACATGTAGCAGTAGTTTCCTGTTCTCAGCTCACACCTCCACATGCTGTCGTTACTCTGTGAACTACATTTCAGCATATGACACTTAAAGTACTGTCAATGCATCATATTAAGCTAATACAGCACACGTTCAGGTTTAAAATTTTGATTTCCAGTCAACATTAGCAGAAGGATAAAGGGAAAAACAACAGTTAACAAGACTTACAATTTGTTTGGATTCCAGGATCGAACGGGACTTCCTGGTCAAAGGAGCCTCGAAGGTCTTCACTGTGACGACCTCCACCACAGCGCTGTTGCCATAGAGACCGTACACATCCTCTCCAAACTGCAATGAAAAAGATACAGATGTTAAAATAAAAACTGAGAAGATTCTGTAAGTAAAGGTATATTAAGAGCTTCTCCTTACTTTCTGCAGAACAGAGGCAAGGATGGCGGTGGCGTCGCGGTACTGAGGAGAGTCTTGGCCGTAGAGCCTGCTGAGCTCCTCCAGGCCAGACAGCTCCAGGGAGTACAGGTCAGGAGAGTGGTCCTTTGCCAAGTGTCTGTGTCTCTGCAGCTACAAGAAGGGCAGAAGACATGTGAGCTAGCAGTGCAAGGACTGTCCTCTTTTTCAGCCTGATTTCAGCAAAGCCGGACGACTTACCAGAGCTGTAATGTCATGCAGGACTTGAACCTCAGACAGGAAGAGCAAATCAGCCTAGAAAGCAGAAACAGAGAGGTAAAATGTCAGGGTTTCAAGTTGACAAACACAATCTAATTTAGGTAAAACTGGTCACTTTATTTGCAGAACTCCCAGGAGTCCTAAGCACGATGATGCCATATTTACTTTTTGAAGTATACTAACTACGTAGGGTGGATGCTGCTTGCTAACTGCTCAAGAATATTTATTACTAGTGAAGTATCTCACTGCTGGAAAAATGGTCTTTTCATAAAACTAGGCTGTCTATAGACCCTTTTATTGTTAGTAAACCGCATGATGTTTTCTGGCGGGCGGGGCTTAGCTGGAGGCAAAACAATTCTCCACAGACATTAGCCAGCGCTAGCTAGCAAGTTCTGTTGGCTTGTTTTAGACAATGGAGGAAGATGATGCAAGTGGTGCATTCAGAAACACTCATTCCGAGTGTTAGAGCGTACTCTGGAACAAACTGGATAGTTCGGTTGCCCAGAAGACATTCTTGTCACTCTGTCTGGGGAGACGGAGCAGCAAAGCACTGAGTGGAGAGAATGTGTGATTAACTTCACTGTTCTTTAATTCATGTAGAAATAAAACGCTCCGTTTCTTTGGTCAACAGGGCTCTCATTTTAGTGTAGAGCATCAGACTGAATTTACGAACGCACCATGTCAGGTCACTCACTCTCCAGGACCGCGAGTGTTACTTGAATAAGTAAACACTGACCAACGGGACCAGACTGGCCAACCCATATGCTCTCACTCAGTGGATGGATGATGTCACAGGAAGCTTTGTAGTTGATTACTATGCCAATCTTACAAAGGAAGACGACAGGACGACACCGTTTGTTTTGCTATCGAAGCTAACGTTAGCTAATGCGCTAAAGAGTTAGCGTTATGGAGAAATCCAATATTCCTCTTAAAACCTCCCCAGTTTCTGATGAGGTGGACATGATAACCCTTAATACACATAACGTTATTCATCCCTACAACAGGAAATACTTTTTCTCTAACCTGATATGAAGTGTGCGCTGCACATGTGAGCATTTTTGATGATCGCCTCCGTCCAGTCCTTTGGTCTTATCACCTTTAACCATAGTTGTCTTTGTTTTTGTTGACGGGCAGTGGCAGCTAGTATGTGATCAAATTTAAGTTGAGCCATGACTCCTATTCTGGCTCCCAATAACATAACAAGACTCCTATGTAGCCTACAGCCCTGTGTCGGCGAGTCCTGTTTTGCCTCCAGCTAACAAACTGATGTCACTGTGACGTCAGTCCTAAAAGGGTCTATGCAGAAAAAGGATGTGAACTCTTTCGAAATTGGTGGAACATGACCAGAAAGAAAACAGGGGAAAAGGACTGTAGCATTTGCTTTTGCTCAAGATGTAGAAAGCACAGCTGTTCTCGCCTTGGCCCATAGTCCACCATTAACCGTTTTCGTCATGGGAAAAGGTCGCTTTCATCATAGTTTTTGTCAGCGAAATTAACACAGTCTGCTTCTAAACTCTTTGTGTCCTCTGTGGCACCATGGGAGACGGGAAATACAAATATGCAGAAGTACAGCCTGTAGTTGGAGCAGCAGTCCCAGGAGAGCCAGCTAAACTCTGCCAGATGACTCATTTTGCATCATTTGTGTCATCCAGCGGAGTTTCCCCAGGAAGGAGGAGGTTGAAAGTTGAGAGCTGGTTAAAGTTGGTTAAGAATCCCTTTAACATCCTATTTTGGAGGTAGAATGATGGTGATCAAACCAGCCATCATGTCATATAGGCTGTCACAAGTTTGTCTTTAAAATGTTCACGGTGGTTGTGTGGAAATAAGGCCAAATCTAAAAGCCAGCATGTCCTTGTGTGGGTACAATGTTGTTGTTTGAAACTGACCTCTGCATTCCTGCTGAGAGAGTTGAGCGGCAGAGAAGCCAACACAGAGCCATCCTGTGACAGACGGGCACGGATCTGCTGCAAGGTGACTGGTAGGTCCTCAAACACAGCATTGGCCTTGCCAAGCATATACAACCTCTGAGAGAAACAACAACACAATAAAACAACAAATAAGCCTCTTAAGAATGACATCACAGATTGTAGGTATACTCTGTTTAGTGTTAGTATATTTCCGTTACCTCCTCGCTGGGGGCCAGCTGCAGCACTACAGGGGTGTCCTCAGCAAACAGAGAGTGTACCGTCTCTGCAACACTGTCCAAGGTGAAGGGCACCGGCTGCAAAGAAGAAGACAAACTGACTAACTCTGCCACATCACACTTTACACGTCAGTAATATATCTGATGTACAAAGCATCATCATAATGCCACAACCCAGTCTGACTCACGTTCTCCAAGGGGTAAGAGGCCACACTCTGAGGCAGGGCCAGGCTATCGACTCCTCTCACCACCACCAGAACATTAGCCCGGGGACGCTGGAACAAGGGACCAGCCTGAAGGCCTGGCCAGGACAGATCCTGTATGAATGAACACAGATTGCAAAGGTTTAGACTGCTCAGGGGCAGCAGAAAGAAGCCGTCAACATAACACTGACATATCACCATCTAAGTTGATAATAACAACGCACCTCTTGAACAGAAAAGCCCATGGTTAAAGCCACCAGGTCGGGGATCTTCTCTCCGGAGACGGGCCAGTCTCCTTTCTGGAAGGACACAAACTCTGGAGACTGCAGCACTGTTAAACTGTCTCCATGGACAGCTGTTGGGAAAGAGAGAGAACTGTTAATCCTAGTGAAACGTGGAAAATTAAGAATAACAGCAAAAACACATTTTTGTTCAAAAACATTTTCTCAACCTAACAGACTTGCAAAAGAAACTGAGAGTTCATAATTTCTCAGTGTGAAATTTACAAATGATAGAGCCCTTGAAACTTCTCACAGAAGGAACAAAAAGTAGTGTAAAATACATTTCACGAACATTCCCACTCTCAATGCTTTACCATTGATGGATGTGAATACTACACTTTCACAGCACTTCACCTGTCCTTTACTCCTCTCTGTGAAGTGAATAACTATTGACTGCTTTATAGGAAATCATGAATGACTGAAAGATGAAGTCGATACAGGGTTGTATCTTTGTTCATATCTATAATTTTTAACAGGAATTTGGCCCCTTTATAAATTTAAAGCTACAGTCAGGCAGCCATAGATTTTTTTTAAACAGAAAAGTTTCTATTTGGGAAAAAAGTATCTTCAGTAACTATCAGCCTTCAGTAACTATTGACAAGACATCAATACAATAAATCAAAGTGACTACACAACAGACCTTTAATGTAAATCTTTTGGACTTTTATCTCTGTACATTGCACATACTCTTTATACTTAATATACCATGAATATTAGCACATTCCCTGGTCAATATTTGCACAACTATGCACAAAACTGTACAGCTCTTTCATTTTATTATAGCTATATTGTGCTGTAGTGTTTTTTTAATATGTATTTTACTGTTTTTTTACTTCTATTTATGCACCAAAACACAAACTTCTTGTATGTGAAAACCTACTTGGGAGTAAACGTGATTTTCATAATGCTCTTCCCCTCCTCAGCTGCTGTTTCTGTCAGTGTGGTGCAATTTTAACTCTCTCTGATATGTTAATTGTACATTACAGCAAGTACAAATTCATCTCCACATGCTGACTGGACTTGAGGGGTCAGAATAAATACTGCAGTCTACTAACACTGACATTACAGCTCAGTGGATGGAGGCATAAACCAACTCGTGACAACCTGACGATGACTGCTGAAGAGGAACTATGAGTTTACAGCCTGTCACATGACTCCACAGTCCGGTGTAAATTCGTAACCAGAAACAAGGAAGCACATAAATGTATATTTCCCTTTAATTTTACCACACCACGAACAAATCGTAGAAGTTTCTAACCAGAAAGTAACGTTAGACATTCACAACCTCACTGCTAGCGGCGACAGTTTACCAATATGTTAGGAGTTAGCATCAAGCTAACGTTACCACTGTGATGTTCAGTTCTTAGCTGCTTGTTGGAAGCCAAAGCCGATTTAATAATACAATACTACAAGTATAGCAATGTTATTCCTATTCACATGTTCCCATTTATTTCTGTGAGACTGTTATACCAAACATATGGTTTTACCGTTGAGCTAAACGGCGATGCTAACGGTGTTTAAGCTAGGTTGTCATTTATAAATACGGTGGGGTTACATGACGCTATAATATTATAAATATGTGTAAAATTAATCCTAAGAAATGTGAATCATAATTATCTATCGCTGCAAATTTCTTACCGGTTGTGACAAGGCAGCAGAGGGCAAACACCGCGGAGAAAACAGCCTCCATCCTTCGGCAGTTTGTCAGCGACATCTTTCTCCTTGGTGCAGCAGAGATCAGCTGACCTGACGTCACGGCACCGCAAAGCACGATGGGAGAATATCTGTCACAGCTACACCAGCACAGGCACCTGAAGTAATAATAAATAACTACCTACATCCAAGGTGCTAACGCTTATGATTTTTCTCTGCAACTTAATATCCAAAAATTATATATAAATATATATTGTGTGCAATATTTTTCACCTCTTATTGCGTATATTAATTCAACATACAATGCATATAATTGTACATGTTTCTTATGCTCTAATTATATTGTTGTTTATTCTACTGACATTGCTGTTAAATTTTTACACTTACAGCCTCAGCACAGTGACTATATATATTTTATTTCAATATGTAATTTTTTTATAACTTATGTACTAGTGTTGAACACGGTAGCATAATGCACATGTTTATTTTTATTTTAATGCACATTTCATTTCTACTTTATTTTATTTGTTGCTCTATATTTACACACACATTTCCACATTTTTTTCCCTACTTCTTATAATGCTTTACATTGTAGCAACTGTACCGATTGTAACGATCAATAAATTATTTCTGATTCTGATTTCTCATGTCGTAATTATGAGATAAGGTGTTGTTGTTTTTCAATGCAGTGAATGCAGTGTGTTTCAGTAGTATTCAAGAGCATGAAGCAAACAATATTTGTTTTATTTTTCATAATTTTCTTATTTATCCAGGAAAGGATTGGAATTAAAGGTAACATTTGGTGTGTCACAGTTAAAACTGGCCCGACTCAGTTAAAAACTTTTTTTAGCAGGTTCCTCTTCAGCAGCATAAAAACAAATTACAATACAAAATAAAATCATAAGCAATCGACAGAGACAAGACGACAAAAAATATGCAGCTACATAGACATTGTGTGAGCAATATGGCATATCAGTGGTTGCAGGCATGTCCTTCCATCTAACAGTGTTTATATGCATTAGGGATGCACGATATTGGATTTTTTGCTGATATCCGATATGCCAATATATAGAGGTGGGTGGTATTGTCGTAAACTAATATCACAATATTTCAGGGTGTTTTTGTGATAACGATATTCTTGACAATATGACAAATTAGTAAAAAAAAATATTTATATTATTAATTTAAGAAAATAGAATTGCAACAAAATAAGTGATATAGTTTTACAATTTACCTTCAAACATTCAGCAAAAACTAAACAAAAAATATCTCATTTCTTTAGTTTGTGAACAACAACAGTAACTCAGTGAGATTCAGATTCTGTATACAATATTAATAATTCACAAATTACACATTTAAACAACTCCCAAATACAAAAAATGTCCCCTGGGATCTATATATATATAAATCAACAGGTGATTTCCTTCTTTTAGTAAAATCCTAAATGATTGTTTTTTTCCACCTGGACCTTTATGCTCTGCCATTTCTCCTCTAATCATCACGCTGTAACCTGTGACAGGCTGTTATGATACCACACTATCACACATTCACATATATGGAGTATTTTGTTGAGCTGTGAGCATCAAGTCGGTGTACATTACCAGAGGTTTCTGAGAAAATCACTTGACTTGACCTGCTGCCAGAGGAGCTGCTGAATGAGTTCCCTCTGAGCAGTAATGCACTAGAGTCTTGAGAAGTCCGGGGCTGTTCATAAAACATTCAGGACGCCACAGTTTATTCCACACTACTGAAGCTGCTCCTCTTTTGGGAACCACCACTGAGTCACTCGTAATTTCGCTTTCAGCCATGCTTGTTGTTATAGGCCTACTAGTTTTATTGTGAATGAGATGATACGGCACACCCCTAACCTTGAGCACTGACTCAGTTGGTGCACTGAAATAGTCCAAACTGTTTGGTGTGACTTCAACAAAAAATATCCCCCATTGTCTTTCAGAAACAGTCGTCTAAATGACTGAAAATATTGTTTTGGTGGGTGTTTATGTGGACTGGAGCTGCACAGATGTATCAACACTTTTACAGACTTTAACACAATAGTCTTTAAATGTCATTCTTTTATGATAAACTTCTTTCTAGAGCAAGTTAACAATTCTAGAAACTCCATGAACCACGCACTAACAAACAAACAGCTGCACACAACACTTTTTAGGTCTACTTCCTGCCATTTACTGACACATAGGGGAAACATTTCACAGCAGAGTGGGTGATGACCATGCAGTGTAATCCTCACTGAAACTTACAGCCATTTCTTCTTCACCTACAAGATGTCCATTTACGAAACCATAATAGCTGGTGATGCTCTATAATTACATCCTGCTGCTCAGTAAAGAGGGATGTTAGTCAGAGAGGAGCTCTTAAGGATGAGTGTGGCCCTCCCGCACCCTCTGCCTCAGGATGTGACTCTCTGACTCCAGTGTTTGGGCTGAGAATCTCAGGTCTGCCAAGCTGTTTTTTTCCCAGCATCTCGATTAGCTCTTGTCGCTCCGTAACCTTCATCTGGATATGTGAGATGAGCCTCTCTGCCTGGAGACAGCAGCTGAAGCTCTGACTTCACTCTGCAAAGCTCTCTGAACTGTGCTGCTAAATAAAACGAGCGTTCTCAGTCGTGATTTCAACATGAAACGATATCTTGAGATCGTCTCAGAGCCTGATGATGATTTAATGATAGTCTGCTTTCTCTGGAGGATTCTCCAGTGGGTTATTTATGTCCCGAGGGGCTGGATTGCCCTAGTCTCTTTCTAAAGCTCCATTGTCAGCATGCGGATCAACTAACCCCTCCTCTGAAGTGTGGCCTGGCCCTTGGCAGCCTGCCAGGGATCTCTTTGCACCCACTCTGCAGAGATAGGGCAGTTGGGTATTTAGTTTGGAGTCTGTCTCCTCTTTGCTTCAGTTTAGTTAAAGCTCAGGCGGATCGTCGTGCTGACACACTCAGCTGCTCATCTAATGCGTTCTGCGGAGCCTCCCAGACTGATGGGGTTTATCTACAGCCTTAAACTGATTGGACACGTTCATGTGAGCAAAAGATCAAGCGCTGATCTTTACATTCAAAGCATATTCAGATCCACCCACCCCAACCTCATGTTCCTCTGTACTTTGTCTATGTGGTCACCCTCTTGTACAGTGGACGATAAGGGCAAAGACGCTACATCATTTCCATCTGTGCTATTTTCTCTTTTTACTAATGAATTTGTGATCAATGACAGGTATTTAAGATTGTTTAAATATGCTGACGACATGGCCTTAGTTGGTCTGTTCCAGCAAACAGACCCATCAAGTGAAGCTGCCTACCTGGCCCACACTAAGGCCCCTCAAACATGGTGTCGCATCAGCAAGTTAGAAATGAATGTGGCTAAGACGAAACAAGATCTGAAGATAGAGACAATTTGACTAGATGGTCAACGTGTGGAAACTGTGGAAAATTTTAAATACCTTGATATAGTTCTGGACTCCTACATGAGCCTCTCTGGAAATACTGAGTATATTTTCCAAGAGATGATCTCTGTGCCATTTCTGTAAAGAGTTCAAGGTCAAAGGCTTCTGTGGCTTGCCAACTATTTTACTTGCCATTGTCACAATCCTAGAAAGTTTATTCTTGGATGTACAGACTTTCGGTTTTAACAGGTTAAGGTAACCGAACCAGACAGGACCATAGTTTGGTACATTCTAAATTCTACCTACTAACACCATGGCCACTGAGTTTCCTAAGAAGATAAAGACAAGGAAGAAAGCAATGAGTACCTTAGCAGATACCTCCCACCCTCTCTTCAGCCTGTTTGAGCTCTTGAGCTCCACAAGACACAATAGAGTCCCTCTTCTAAACATGCTACTAATTCAAAAACACATACAAAAATAACTGGCAGAGGGTTCCAGAGCCTCGGGACCTCGATGGCAACCTCGATCTAAGACCAACTAGCAAGGGTAGACTTGAGGATCGCAGGTCACGAGGTGAGGCTTAATTGCTCAGATCCACTTTGTTTGAACCAATCTGACAGCTTCCAAGCAAGTTGCAGAAGAGAACCATGAAGAACTAACAATCTTGTTTTAACAAATAAATTCAAATTTTAAAAAGCATTTATAATTTTTGTGAATTGAATATTTCATTACTCTGTTTGAATGGCATTATATGACATGGGAAAGCACTCAGAGACCAAGTACTGGGCACTGGCTTAAAGAAAAAAAATTACATATACAATCTATGATAAACAAGCATGGTTTGGATGTATATGGGGCTGTTGAAAAAAAATGTCATTATATTTGGTGAAGAGGGCATTATAACTTGTTTAAGACTTGAAAGTCAAAGTTTAGGACCTGGGGCTTGACTGCAATGACTTGGCCCTACCTCTGATAAAGAATTATTATGAATAGGAATAAATCAGCCCCTACACAAAAGTTGAATTCAGCGCTGAAGGCTCAGCAAACTCATCGTTTTGGACACTGGGGGGCGCTGCAAGCCACAAGCTTTTCAGCGCAGAGAAGCAGCAAATGGGTGTTGGCGAGTTGTTCAGTCATGGCTGCAGCAATAAATTGCATGATGCCTACAATACAAAAATAATCCAAGAGATGGCAATATAGGATTGTGTTCTTCACACCTCGGCGACACACACACACACACACACACACACACACACACACACAGGAGCAGCTACAATAATGAGGCGAGATTTAATTTGACAGAGCAGCCGCACAAACCCCAGTTCTCACAGCCCGATTTAATTGAACACTGACAAAACAGAAAAGCGGAACACTGGTTTCATCTTGCAGTTTGTATATTTATTTTAAAGCAACTTCTTTTGTAAAATATAAATACAAATTATGAGATATTTTAATTACAAAGTTAAAACAAAAATGAACACACCAAGATTCACTTTACTGCAGTAGCCTCCCTGTTATATACAAGCTCTGTGCCGAAGGGTAAATATCAACATTATCTTAAAACTTTATTATACAAACAATTCTGTAGTTTTGCATGTTAAATTACAGACTAAACAGGAAGCAAAATTTGAACATAAAAAAAAGATACAACAGAATAGCCCCTGAGGCTCAAGCCAGCGCTAAAGTCTGAGGAGAGGAGGAAAAAAAAAAAAACAGGACATCATGTGCTTCCTATGAACACAAATACCACATTCAACAGCACAGCCTCGTACTATCCTGTACAGCTACACACATGCACAATGTGCTGCGCGCTCACACACTCCATCCAACCGCTGACAACACGACCGCACTCTGTTGCCATACAAAATCTCTCAGGAGTCGTCGTGAGCAACATCCGAACGAAAAAAAATCTCTGTATTTCTTATATATTAATTTATAAAAATAAGACCATTATTAAGCCTACTGAGTCTCAAATTGATCCTCAGTTAACGGAGGGAAACGTCTGAGCAGCCCGGTCAGCCAGCAGGTCAGTCCATCTGTACAGTGCTGGTCCAGAGCAGCGTGGGAACTAAGAGTCAGGCTAAGGCATATCATCGTAACCCCTGCGTGGTTCTAAAGCAAACTGCAGTCGGTAAGGATCAAGGTCCGGGTTTAGTGGCACAAGGGGTCAGGATGAGCCCAACTTGCCAATAGCCTTGATTTTGTCCTTCAGTTTGTCCCCTGGGTGGTCCCAGCGGTCGTCCAGGCACTCCAGTGTGGAGCCCAGAAGGGCGGCCAGCTCAGCACTGTCTTCCACCAGGTCCAGCAGGTCCTTGCTGTCTGCGTGGAAGCCCTCCAGCTCCTCCGGGCAGGAGAAGAGCTGCGACAGAGAGGCCTGCCGGTAGAACTCAGCCTCTGCCACCGTCACCACCTCCATGTGGGGGAAGGCCTGGCGGAAGCTGCGGCCGGACATCCGCAGCCGGCGGAGGACGTCGGACAGTAGCAGCCAGTTTCTCGGCCTGAAAGAGGAAATCAAACAATGTTTAGAAATGAGGGTCGAGGACCTACAATAAAATATCATGACTTATTCACTACATATAACACGGACGGAATTGTGTAGCGCACTTTACTCCAAATGTAATTTAATTTTTGTAGGCGATTCGCAAACATGAAGGAGTAGAGCTCCCAGACAGTGCCGTGTGTCCTGCGTCCCACAGGATTGGCTCACATTGGGTCATCTTGGCATTTGTTTAGATAAACTGGCAAAACTGTGACCTAAAAAGTTGTTAACTAACCTAATCTTAAATTACTAATGCAACTTGGCCTACATCATCTCTCTAAGGTATGGAAACTTTGAGATTCATGTTCAATCACGCTGTCACAACAGTATTTTCCTTGCCCCACCTGCCAGGCGTTATTCAAACAAATCGGATTCAAACTATTCAAACATAATTCCACCTAGTTGGCAAACATATAGGGAGAGACAACGCGGGGGGAAGTGAAGAAACGTACATGATGGTAAACAAAATGTCACTCACACATCAAAGCAGATTAGAGCTACGTTACGTCAAGAGCTACAGGGTGCTTTCAGACCTAGAGTTGTCTTGCTTTGGTCTGAATCAGGGACAAATTTTGTTCCAAAGTTGCATAATTGTCTAGAGTTGGTTCATGTTCTCACGGCAGCATTTACAAGAGGACCAGATCAAATGCCTTGTGTGAGAAAGCTGCTCTTGATTGGTCAGAATTTCCATGTGGGAAAAATCCAGGAAGTAAAGCAAACGTTGAAGAAGAGTACACTTGCAAGATAAATGTGACACTTTCTAATGTCACAATGGAGGGACAACTACGCAGGTTGATTTTAGCGCTGCTCATCGTGGACTATATTGCTGTCATTGTTCATTTTAGTCAAAGCATACAGTTTGAAACGAGGCGCGGCTCCAACTAGAAAACAATGTTTTGATGCATTGGATGTGCTGAATGTGCATATTAAGGCAGTACAGGAGGAGGTGCACATTAATAATCCTCCAGGACTGTAACATGCTCATGTTTAACCCAAACAATGTGTCATGTGACTGCAGTTGGTTCAGATCCAGGTCAGAACACGTTCTCACCACAAAAGAACCGCACCAGAGTTCATTTGTAACCAGACTGAGACCACCTCTTTAAGAAGTTCTCGGTCTGGTTGTTTTGGTGCACACCTGAGTGAATGCTGTGTTCACACCTGCCCAAATGAACCGCACTTCGGGGGCAAATGAACTTGAGTTCGATTGAACCGAACCAAACAGGGCAGGTGTGAAAGCACCCTTAATGTTACAATATATGGAATTCTATCCACAGACTTTTCCAAAACTTTTAAGGATCCAGGCCTGGAAAATTAGACTGTAGAATTTCATGACTATTCCTGGTTTTCCATGACCCCCTAATGAGAGTCTGCTCTTGAGATGGAAGCTTACCCCTGAGAGAGGGACACCTGGATGTTGTAGCAAGGCAGCAGAGGTCGGTCCGAGAACTCAAACTCAAACACCTCCCGTTTATCATCCTCATCTTCATCCTCAGGGCCTGGAGGGTCAGCCAGGATGTCGTACATACCACCCTCTTCGTTTGACTCTGAAATACACACATAAAAACACACAAAACATTTTTAGCAAGCATCCACATTACTGTAAAAGACACGCATCGCTCGAAGCTAGATGGCATTAAAGATGTCTGAAGAATAAAGACTTTGTAAGCACTAAAACAAACAGGACCGCTGATCAGTACTCACCACACACAGCGCTGCCATAGAATTCCCAATAAAGCCCCGGGTCGTCATCTGAGCGGCCCTGAAGGTCAGCAAAATAATCTATGGAGAGGAGAGAGGAGCAGAGCCAGTTACACAAGAGCTGGAGCCCCGGGGACAGGCAACGAGGCAAAATACAATTGCCCTTTAAGACTACAGCAGAAAAATGGATAAAGAGCACAGTAAAATAGAAGAGGAGGAGGAGGGGCGGTGTCAGGAGAGAAAAGAGAAACAAACAGAGCAAATGTTTTGGGGGAGGAGGGGTGGTGGGGCACTGATGGTCAGGGGCCAGCGGCTGTACCACGGGGGAGGAGAGCGACTGTCTCCGCTGGGTTAGAGCTGGCTCAGTTCAGAGTGGGGCTGCCAGGAATCAAACAAGAACCACACACAGTCGCTGAGTCCGCACACACACGTGCGCGCACACACACACACACACACACACACAGAGCGAGCTGGAAACAAACAAGCAGAGGGAGCTGGATAAGCACACACAGCAAGAGCAAAGTGTGTATTCAGCACGCGCGCACACACACACACGCACAGAGTGAGAGCTGGGCTTTGTGCCAGCGCTGAGGCGTGGGGCGTCTGGCGTGTGTTTGGAGGGATTAACAGCCTCCAGATGAGTGGGACCAGGTGGAGGGAGGGCAGCAATCGCTCGCTCTCGCTCATTTTCTCCGGTGCTCGATCTCCCTCGCGCCCTGCTGTCAATCTCGCAGCCATCGATCTATCCGTCCACACTCTCTTCAAAATTCAACACCATCTTTCCAGCCGTCTACATATAAATCTCCCTTTTGCACTAAACCTGCTCACCCTTCTGCCGACCGTGAACTTACACCTGTTCGTTTTCACCCTGACGTGCTGTCTCTCCTGCGTCTCGTCTCCTCCACCGAAGCCTCCGCTGTGTCTCACATAATCGCTTTTAACTAGCTGGATGTTCATGTAATATTAAGCAGCTGGCTCCAGAGGAAGCGTGCACCCCTGTGTATGCTTTCATTTCCTCCTCCTGTACACAAACCCGTGTTGTCTCGACTTTAACTGCAAACACTCAGGCAGGCCCTCTCAACATTCACGGCCCAAATACAGACCCACGTCAGGCTCTAGCTAGGCAGCCTTGTGAAAAGACACACTCAGGCGCTCACACGCACGCATACAAAACCTCCAGCCAGAGCGAAGCCCATTTCCGCACGTACGCTGAGCAAACACAGTTGGCGTTGCTAAGTAACCAGATAGAGGAGCTCAGAGGCAGCAGCACGCACCCCGGCGGGCTGAGACTCCCTGTCTAACAGGTGGTCGAGGGAGGGAGGGGTGGGGGTGGGGGTGGGGGTGGGAGGGGGGGTGCTGGAGGGGAAACAGGATGACAGAGACAGGCATGTCTTGTAGCGACGGTTGGGAGGTGGAGGATGAGGATTTACAGAGAGGGACTCATACCAACAGGTTGCACAGAGGTCAGAGCATTGAAAGAACAGCAAACAGTGACTGAGCCAAGACTGGGGCATGTGGGAACTCGATCGCTGACCGATCTTTACAGCAATTTACTCTCGCCCCACCTCGATATCCACCCTCTGGTGTACCTGCTGTCTAAAAACCCCTTTGATCTCATTTTAATTCACTCTTTTTCCAGCATCTGTGATTGTACGGTTTGTGGTGAAGGGCACATTAATACTCAAATTTTCTGGCTTTTGCATTCCACTGTCTGCACTATGGAATAAACTTTCAGCGACTGCAGTTGTTGCAAAACAGTTAACAGCGCAAGGTTAGTGTATTGTACAGTTTAGGTAAAGAAACCGTAATCCCCTCTAAAATAGGTCATGTTTGTCGAGGGATTTGGGGGGGTTTTAGTGACTTAAGGTGCAAGAAAATGATACTTCGAGACCGTGTGTAACTTTCACCAACAAACTGATAGAACTGTGCGCCTGATGTTTGTATGCCTTTTCTCAAACGCAACAAAACCAGCCTTAAACCATGCATGCGCATCTTGTGCAGTCGCTGCTTTTGAGCATTTGGATGTTTGACACACAAGCTTCACTCGTCTCTGGGGGAGGGTCTTCAGGCTGATTTATATCCCTTTTCGTACATAAGTAGGTTCGTCTGTTTTATAAGTTGTAAGCATCACTGCCCTCATATTTCCATGCATCCTTTATAATAAACGGCACTAGAGGGCAAAGTTTCCGACAACAACAAACGAGGCAGCGGTACAGAAGGTTGTAATATTGCAACTTTAAATGGAGGCAGCGTTGTAGACCAGTGGTTCCCAACTAGTCCAGCCACGGGGTCCAGATTTCTCCTTAGTCATTAGTTCAAGGTCCACGTAGTTTAATATATTCACTTTGGCCATGTTGTCAAGCTAGTTTGCTGTCTCTGTTATGTAGCTGTCCATCATTCATTCATGCAAAGTGAAGAGGCACTTAAAAGCCACAAATTCCCTGCACTTTGAAACAGAATGTGCATTCTGATAGTCACTCACTATCAGAAAGGACCAACGACCCAATTTGAACCACTGTTGCAGACAGCAGTGGTTTGTGTAGCCATTAGATACATCCCGACATGTGGACGGAGAATTCTCTTCAAAATTCTCTCTTTTACTATATATTATTATATTTTACCTGTTTGTTTACGTTACGCCATGATTTAAATTTCTTAATTATCTCCTACAGTCGCATCTCACTTGAACTACTCTACATACTTCTACGATTTCCAATGGTGCTGCTCTGTTTCATCTGTATCCATAAGCTTTCGGAAAACGTGCACAAATAACGACATAATGAACACAAAGTACAAGCAGAAGGCTCTGTCCCTCTCCTTATCTAACATTGAGCATAAACAAGCCCTTACATGTCAAAACAAGTGTGAATGACGCCTTTAGGACCAATCATTTCAGAGAAATCATTTTAAAATTCCCAAGAGATACAGTGTCCACACTACAGTGAACACTAACTGTATTCCAGACGTGCTGTATTTGACACAGGGCATCCTGGACAGCAGGCATTTGTGATTTTCTAAAAGCATTATTTCTTTAATCAGATGTCATTAAATAACGTATAACTGTTATTTCAAAAGGGAACAAGTTCCTCACATCCCCCGTCCTCACTTTTTTGTAGCCAGGAAATGACATTTGATCCAACAAATCAAACCAGGGTGAGGATGTGGACCTCAGAATTTCTAACTTCCTGACTAAACTGTGTCTGTGACGAGGTAGAAAAGCCAGCAGGGATCTTACCAGTGAGGAAGCGCTCCATGCTGTCGCTGTGGGTCATCTTGAGCAGGCCACGGCCAGAATACGTGGCCAGGGTGGGGTCAGCACCGTATGACAGCAGGACTCGCACCACATCCAGGTGGTCGTTCTCCACAGCGTCGTGAATTGGTCTAGACACACACACACGTATGTTAATTTTAACAAGAACATGGAGCTGCACTGACAACATCTGTAGGGGCAACAAATTAGTCTTTAAAAATGCAGTGTGTTGAATTAAAACTATATTATTCATTCCAGCTGTATTGTCACTGGTAGAATTTCTCAAATTTAAGTTGACCCATAAACTATTTCGTCAGATGTACGTCCCTAATAATGACTCCATGTGCATATCCAGAAGGTGAAATATATTTTATAGTTTTGCAAGACTGCCCACTCTTCTTAGCAATGATCTCACCTATGTATCTGTGATACCATGAATGTTGCAAATCTTGTAATGGTTTAATAAAAGCTGCAGCACAATGCGCCTTTAAGACCTGTGCACAGTTTCCCAGAACAGACCCCCTACTGTAAACTTTAATAACGCAGCAATGAGAGCACTAGCCTTTCCCATTTAAAACTGCACTAATCTCTCAAATCACTGCTCTTGCCAAGCAAATATAAAAAAATCAATCCCAGAAATTTTGCTATGAGCCAACTGAAGTGACTTAACTGATGACTAAGTCCTGGCGTGCCCTATTAGGGCCTGTAGAAAAAGCCACAGTCGTGTTTGCATTGTGCTCAGGAGACGTGTTTATGCAAGTTTCTGTGATTGTGTGTGCATATGCATGAGTGTGTGTTTGTCTACCTGGTGCCATCCTGCGCACTGCAGTTGATGTCGGCCCCATAATCCAGCAGGTGTTGGACTATGCTGAGCCAGCCGCGGGCGCACGCCTCGTGGAGGGCGCAGTAACCGGCGTAGTCTCTGTGATTCACCTCACATACTCTGTTCTCTAGACAGTACAGCACCACCTCCTGAAGAGAGCCAACACAGAGGGAGAATAGGGTTTAGTGTGTGAGGTTGTGTGTGTGTGTGGATTTATGTGTGGCGACAACCCAAGCAACACAAGACCAAACACACGAGTCAGACGGAGGAGACACATACGCAAACAGTCCTTCCCTTTACAGTTCCTGTGGGAGAGAAATTAGGGAAAGGAGGAACTGAGTGTGTTCCTGTGCTGGACAAACACACACACACACACACACACACACACACACACACACACACACAAATGCTCCATAATACTAGAGCTGGCGCCAAAACACATCGAGGAGACTAAGTGTGACTCAACTGTATTTAGCCTGCCAGATTCCGCTTGTGCATGTACGAGTGTGTGAATGTGTGTGTCTGTGTGCCACGGTTGGGCCTGGACGCCACTGTGGCAGCCAGTTACGATGGTTGGGCTCTGAACACAGCATAATGGAAGCGGAACAAAGAGATTTGATAGAGGCGCTCAAGAGCTGGAAGCGTTTCCTCTGGTCTAGGGCTGTGACAGTTGGGCATCCAGCACTAAGTAGTCAGACTGGTTTTTATTGGACTGGAGCGGCGTCTGCTGCTACCAAACAGAGGGGAGACAGAGAAGATAGGGAGCAGTCCAGCAGCGTGTTGATACGGGGCCTGTCCGAGCCTGTTTGTGTCTGTGTGGATATGCAACTCGGGCTACATCCACACTAATGTGTTTCCATTATAAGACAATGTTTTAGAATAAATGTCAGTTCACATGACCGTTTTAACATCGTTTCTGAAATAACCTCTGTCCATATTGACACACCTGACAATCACGTACACTGGGCATGCACATGCCGGTGTAAACACGAAGCAGATTATCTACTCTGTGGTTGGTTGCTTAGTTACCAAGGGCATATTATACTGCAGAGGAAGAACAGCAATGGCGAAAAGTAAGACCAGAGATTTCTTTGCCTGGACCAACGACAAAATGGAGGTGTCAAACTAGTCTAAAGTAACAAGAGCGTGAGGCGATGGAAAACAGTTGTTGCAAGGCAAATACAGTGACACATTAGCACGAAGGGGCAACCTCCAGGGCACAGAAATGAAGCTAACACGTTAGTGCCAAAAACTGCAGTTCCTCTGATGGCCACTTGAGGCTGACTCCAGAAGCCAGTCAATCCCCATAGACCCCCACCCCCGAATTCAAATGACCGACTTTTTAGCAGAAATAAATATGTTTACAACCTGACCATGCTTAGCTTTGATGTTTTGGTTTCACACGTGATCACAAAGCGATCTTGAGTGTCTACTTCACCGATTTAAAAAATCTGGTTTCGTCTGTCCAGACTAAAACGCAAACTTGAGTGTTGAAATTAAGGCCATGTTTAAACGAAACTGATCGGCTGAAAATGGAATCTTTCTCGTTCTTGTATTGAAAAAACGTCCACCCTTAGACGACAACGTTTTGATAACAATCGCCGTGCACACTGATCGGCAAAAATGACCAAACACGCTGTAGTATACATGCCAGGTCAGTAGTTGGCAGTGTGACTGTAATGAAACAACACGCACCGCACCGCACCGCAGAGAGGGGATGTATAAAACAAAATGGCAACCACACGTCTGTCAGACGGACAATGAGATGGAGTTGCTACAGTAAATCTACACTTTGCTGGAGAAGCATTGATAAATTCAATAGAGTGAGAGGCACAAACAGATCTCGGGGGTCCGCCATTGTTGTTGTGATGGTCGACTTTCTCGCGCATGCCTAGTGACTGGAACTGTAATGTGCATGTGTGAAAAGTCTCCGTTTTCAGAGGAATGACATGACAACGGAGACGGTGTGATTTCCAGAACACTGCACTCTGGAACCCGTTTTCAAAATATTGTGTTTTCAGGCACCGGTGTCGTATAAACAGGATCTAAAACAGGACAACAGCATTTTCAAATGTCTTTATTTTAAGTGTTCAGAAACACTGGAGCAGTGTGGATGTCAGGTGTTAACATAGCAAAAATCAGTGTAGCCTTAGTGTTCGACTGGGCAAAAGGGAAAAAAAATGAAAATACCAAATTTTTATGTATTTTGTCATATATATATTTATATATAGGTGAATGCAAGCCTCATACATCCAGACAACTCATACTCCGTCCTGCTAACAGTCCTGTGCCGAGGGGAGGAAAACTGCTCATCTGAACCTGGGGAATGACTCCAAACTTCCATTTCTATGCTAATTCTAGCCTGCCGTCTAGTCCAAGTATTTATCTCTCTCCCTCTTTCAGTGCAGGGCGGATGGAGGGAGGACGAGGGAAGGAAAGGCAGGCAACGGAGAGAAAACAGGCTGACAGAGGAATAAGAAGAGGGCTAGAGAGGGCGGAGGAACGGGACAGGAGTGAGGCAACACCCCAACAGATGACAGATTAATGAATCTGTGGATGAAATCTGCCGGGGGCTGTCCTCTGGGCTGCAGCTGATAATAACAACAGATGAAAGGGTGGGGTGTTGTGGGTGGCAGTGGTAGTGCGAAGTGGGTTGGTGTCGTGATAGGAGTGAACAGAGGATGATCGGAGGAAAGAGAGACAATGAGGGAAAAGGGGGGGATAAGTGGAAAGCGGGATCCAGAGAAAAGAAGTGAGCAAGTGTGAGCAAGAAAAAGTGCGAGAGAGAAAGACAAACGAGGGGGAGTGGGACAGCGCTCCAACTGGTTTTCACTCGCTGCCAACACTCTGTTTGCCTGCTGGAGAGAGATTCAGGAGCGCTGTGCCGAAGCTCCCCTCTGGGGGATTCCACTCGCTGTGTGTGTGTGTGTGTGTGTGTGTGTGTGTGTGTGTGTGTCTGCGTGAGTGAATGAGAGCAAGTGCTGGAGAGACTGACGGGTAGAGTGTCGATATGCAGCTTGCCTGTGTGTGTGTGTGTGTGTGTGTGTGTGTGTGTGTGTGTGTGTGTATCTGTGTGTGTGTTTGTTCGCACGTGTATTTTTGTGCTGCTGACGAGTATGTCTGAGTGTGTGCGTGAGTGTGTGCGTGTGGCTGTGGAGGAGGCGTAGCGCTAAACCTCCGGAGCCGTGTTTAATATCGCTGGGAGAGAGCGAGGAGCTTAGCACGAGAGTCCCGGCTTCCCGCCCCACACACACACACACACACACACACACACACACACACACACACACACACACACACACACACACTCTTCCGCAGTAAAATGAGACACCACTCCCCCCTCCTCTCTCTCGCTCTTTCCCTCCGTTCTCTAATCTCCCTCTCTAGAATGCTTCCCTGCGCTCGCCTGCAATCAATGCATCACTCAGACATTTAACCCCTTGCAGCGCTGCCTTGTATGCTCCTAAAATACAACAGATGTGTGTGTGTGTATGTGTGTATATATATAAATGCGTACAACATGTGCAGGTGATGCATGATGAGTGGCTTTCCCTACACGACGAAGAGTCAAAAGTCAAAGCAGTGGAGTTGGTGCGTGCCGAGACAAGTGAAGCGTGTGGATGTTTGTTTGTATGATGAGAATGTGTGTGTATAAAAGCCGGCCTGCTGTTGACTGACTGCTGGGGTAACAGAGGAAGCTGGAGGAGGTGGCCTCCGATGATCTCAGATAGATTTAATTAATCTCACACTGCCGCACACACGTGTGATTAGCCAACTGAAGAATAAAGACAAATTACGGAATAATAACCTGTTTATATATATATTTTGTTAAGAATACATGCCTCGCTCCCAGCCAATAACCTGTACCACATAATTAACGCTCAATTAACACTTCACACAAACCAAATAATAAACCTGACTGTTCTGCTGTCTCATCATACCAAAAATTTGTATTGCGAAATTCATCCAAATGACCTTGTGAATACAGGTTAAAGAAAGTGACTACTCATGTGGCTAGTTACTGAGTGGTGGTTGGCGAGCTAACCGCTGACATACGACACACTATTATACCTACCTAGCCTGATGCTAACATGACAGCACTAGCCGGCTTAATAGTTTACCAAGCTAGCTGCCTTGCCATCAGCAAGCTAACAACCAGTTAGGAAGCTAGCTAGCTTAGTTTCTAAAATGGTAGGTTCAGGGCGCCCACTAGCTTAACTGGTAGAGCAGGCGCCCCATGTACAAAGGCTGTGTCCTTGCTGCAGCAGCTGCGGGTTATATCTGTCCTATCAAAGTAAGACAAAAAAAACACCAAAAAAAAATACCTTTAGAAAAAAATTAAATGGTAAATTCAAGAAAATGTGTTTGTATCACCTACCGTATCTCAAGCTATTGTGGTTGGCGAGAAAACCGCTAACATATTACATGCTACTGTAGCTAGCCTGATGCTAACATGATGGAACTAGCCAGCCAAAATAATTTACTAAGCTAGCTGCCGAGCCATCAGCGAGCTAAACAGTTAGAGAGCTCGCTAGCTTGGTCGATAACTGGATACTAAATTAAAGTGGTAAATTTTGGGCACCAACTAGCTCAACTGGTGGAGCAGGCGCACCATGTACAAAGGCTGTGTCCTTGCTTCAGCGGGCGCGGGTTTGATCCCACCCACAGTCCTTTCTCTACCCTTTTCATGCCTCTCAAATAAAGGCAAAAAGCACCAAAAAATAACTATAGAAAAAATAAAATAATTAATTTAATTTATTAATTCTCGAGCTATTGTGGTTGGGGAGAGAACAGCTAACATACTACCCACTACTATAGCTAGCCTGATGCTAACATGATGGTAGTCAGAATAGCTAACCAAGGTAGCTGGCTTGCCACTAGGTAAAAAGCTAGCCAGTTTGGTTGCTAACTGGATATTAAGTTAAAATGGTAAATTTAAGGGGACGTATTTGAATTACCCACAGCATCTCAAGATATTGTGGTTGGCGGGAGAACCGCTAACATACTACAAGATACTGTAGCTAGCCTGATGCTAACATGATGGCACCAGCCGGCTGAAATAACACACCAAGGTAGCTGGCTTGCCACCACTTAGAGAGCTAGCTAGCTTGGGCACTAAATGGATATTTAAGTTATAAATGGTTAATTCAAGGGAATGTTTTTGCATCACCCATGGTGTCTCGACTGACTACAGACCATGATGCATTTCCACTGTGAAACTTTGGCAGAACAGAGTAATGTGTATGCAGTTCAATAGGTTAATGATATCTTATTCTGACCCCTTGGGATCTATGGGAAAAGGCATATGCGTGATGTAACTACAGCTGTGGTGTTGGAGGGTTACAGCAGACTGTATTAGAAATTAAATGATGGTTTCTGCTCAGGTGCTCTGTGGATACACTCGGTGTATGAGGATGAAAGATAGACTAGGTTTTTGTTGTGTTTTCACATTGAATTTGAGCAAGTTTTTGAAAAGCAAGTTCTGATGCCGAGTAGGTCTACTAACGACTTGCAGATTAATTTAATGACACAGTCTCCGTTCAATGATATGACTCGATATGACATTGTGTCTCAGTCTTCAGTTAAGAGCATTATTTTCTGTTCCCCCAAAGGTCAGCACTGTCAAGACTGTTATTGCGATTGGTCAAAGGCGCAAATTAGCGTTCACCAAAGATGAACTTGAAACGTCAGTGCGGATTTACTTCACAAGCAAATACACTAATTGTCACTAATTCAGTCCAACATTTTTGCGATCCCAGTTCTGGTCTGACTGAGCCTTAAAAAATGCAATCTAGTTTTTCCTCTTCGCTCGGATCATACACGGATTTGAGGAGGAAAATCAGAAGTGATTCATGCGAGGAGAATAAATGACAGATTGCACCTTTATCTGAGCTTTCAATGGCTAGAGCTGAGGGGCCTCGGCACGAGGGGGAGAGGGATGAAGACATCCGCAGAATCTCTCCTCATTACCATTTCAAATGCTCAGAGAGCGAGGCAGACGAGGGAGAGGGAGAGAATAAAAGGGGAGCGAGGGAGGGGAGGAAGAAAGAGAGAGTGGGCTTTCATGTGCAGAGGCACGGATCGCAAAACTAAACGAACATGAAATATGCACAGTGTCGGCCGGGCATCGGGAACAGCGCAGAATAGTAGTGCGCGTGTGTTAAATTACATGCATGTGTGCATGAGGTGATTCTGCATGTGCACGAGAAGGGATGCCTGTGCATGAGCTCACAGGGCAACAACCGCTGTTTCTCTGTGTGTGTTTGTAGTGAGCACGAGTGGCAGTGTGTGTGTATGTGTGTGTGTGTGTGCATGAGGTGATTCTGAATTTGCATGTGCAGGTCTGTGTGTGTGGGCGACAGCAGCGAGTGCGGAGACTCGTCGCTGTGTGCAGCATATGGAGAGGAACACGTCAGGATGCCTGTGCATGTGCGTACTGGGTCATAACAAGTGTGTCTCTGTGCGTGTGTGTGTGTGTGTGCTCATAATCAGCATGTGAGCTGTGTGTGTGTGTGTGTGTGTGTATGTGTGTGTCTGTCTCTCAGGCCCTCATATCTCTCTGCCTGTGTGTGATAAGCCCAGAGCTTGCGGCGCTAAAACACCAGCGTGAGACAAGCGCTCTGTGCGTCTACAGGCTTGTATGCAAGCGTGTGTGTGTGTGTGTATGTGTGGGGCGGTATGCATAAATTGGTGTGTCTCTCTGCGCACGTCCTTGTGTGTATGAGTGTGTGTGTGTATGTGTGTGAGCCCCAGGGGTCTGCCCCAGGCTTATCACACACAGGCAGTGAGAGACGAGCTTCCTGAGAGAGGGAGAGAAAGAAAGGAGGGAGGGAGGTGGGGGAGAAGGGGAAGGCGGGGGTGTTGTTTGCGCAGCGGTCAGCGCCTTGTTTGTGTAGTCTCAGGTTTTCTCCCTCCCTCCTCCCTCTTTCCCTCTCCACACGAGGAGCGCAGGAAGGGAAAAATGCGAAGGGGGTACGACAAAAAAAAAGGAGAAGGAGGGGAAAAAAACGTCCGAGAGAGACGCATAAATCAGAGAGACGAGCCGGCTTCTCTCCAACACGGCTGACTGAACCCTGCTGCTGCTGCCGCGCTGCACCCTGTGCGTGTGCGCGCCCATGTGTGTGTGTGCGTGTGTGTGTGTGCGAGCGAGGGAGAAAAACAGCCGCCGCCACTGCTAACCACAGTCACCACGGCACATTAGAGGGCCATTAGAACGCGATTATACTCCCAGTGCTTACCTCTCATTCACACTCCTGCTCTCTCTCACTCTGACTCACACACATTCGCACATAATCACGGACACACACACACACGCACACCTCATCATCATAAATGTGTACAACAAACACACACAACCATAAAGCAACCAGTTAATGAGCAACAAAAGATACCCACACCTATTTACAGTTCTGTGAAGATACCTCTGCTGGTGATAAAAATTATCTCGTGCACACACACGCACACACACAAAGCCAGCATAGCGCACAACGTGATTTTGCCAAGTAGGATATGCTCCTGGATTAACATCCCCATCGCGTTCCTGGATCAACATTGCAATCAACCAATCACAGCCCTCGTACATTATCCGTGTGCTGCTCCTGTGCCTCTCTCGGAGCTAAGCTAGTTTTACAGATTAAAGTTAATACAATTGAACAAAATCGTCAGTAACGTTAACAAATAATATAATATTCTAGCCTATTAGCAAGCTTACTTGTTAGCCTAGCATACCTACTTAGCAAGCTAGCTCACTAATATTCTCCTCTGTCGACCCTTTTTGTATTTGTTAACAGTGATGACGTTTTGTTGTTGGCAGAGACAAACTGGTGGCAGCAAGAGACAGTAGTAGTGTCGGTATGAGTGCCAAATACAACGCAAAAGTGTCTTAGCTTCGATATAGCAGAGGGTACTTGCTGTAGCTCTGGTTGAGGGTGGGAGGCTGTCAACAAATAGTTTTTTGGGCACAGAGAAACAGAGATCTGTGTGGGTACATGAGTCCCTAAAAAAGGGGGTGGATTACGGGGAGTACCACCAATTGGTCAAGGAGCTTCACCTCGATGATGGCTGTTTCTTGCCATATTTCAGGATGACTCCGGGGAGGTTTGACAACCTGCTGGGTATCCAGCAACCGCTACCACCGGTTTCTCCTCCATTGTTTACCAACTGTAAACTTGTTGTTGTGAAGATGGAGAAAGAACAGATGACAAAGTTTTTTCAACTCGAGGAGTTCAGAGCGCTCCGGCAAAAACGGCAGGTACGTAGAGCGCATAAATGCGAGGCAGGTTGCAACGCAACAAAACGCAAGCAAAATTGCTTCATTCTCATTAAAACCAATTACAAAAAGCCGTCTCCAGCCGCTAAAATGCTTTCTGTGTGATCAGGGCCCTACTTAGTAAGCTAGCTCGCTAATATTTTTGTCTATTGGCAAGTTTACTCATTAGCATAGTCAACTTACCATGCAAGCTAGCTCTCTAACCCTTCACTTGCTTGCATGGTTTTTGTTCAGTGATACTGAGGATTTTGTTTAATTGTATTAATTTCGATTTGGAAATCTATCTCGGCTCTGAGGAAACACAAAGGAAATGTGAAAGACGCAAAGGAGCAGCACACTGACGATGTCAGAAAGCTGTGATTGGTTGATTGCTATGTCAGGAGCATGTCCTGCTTGGCAAAATCACGCCATGCGCAGCATCAAAGAGGAGTGAGCGACAGGGTGGACACACACGGCACAATCTGCAGCTCAAGTGGCATAAAAACCGCTCGGATCAATAAATCAATTTGTAAAATCTGTCAACAAGGGGGGAGAAACGTTTAGGCTCACAAACAGAAACACGAGGGATGAGGGAGAGCGAGACAGCGGGCCATCCAACTTTAATTAAAAGCTTTCAGAGCAATGGGAGTTGAGAGATTCAGCAGAATACACACCAATCTCATTCTTCCTTGTATGTGCAGAGAATGAGAGGATCTGGTTTAGGAGCGAACGATCGGCAGCTACACACAAAGAAAGAAAGGAAAAAAACTCCCGATGCTAGAGAGAGGCAGCGAGCATCAGTCTCCGTATAATGATCCCACCGATCCCTCATGCTGTCTGCGCATGCACGTGCTTCTGTGTGTGTGTGTGTGTGTGTGTGTGTGTGTGTGTGTGTGTGTGTGCCTGCGTGTGTGTCACACTTCGCCTCACGGAAAATTAATGAGATGTGAGAGCAGAGCGAGGCAAGAGAGGAGGGGAGGCGCGGGGAGGGAGTGTGTGTGTGTGAGCTCGCGGGGAGGAGAGGAGGAGGAGGAGGGGTGCCAGCGACAATCTGAGTCACAAAGAGAGGAAGAGAAAGAGAGTGCTGAGAGGAAAGAGGGGGGAGGGAGAGAGCGGAAACCTGACAGAGAAAGAGAGAGTAGCGGGCAAGAGGAGCAAAAAAAGATGGAGTATGGCGAGAACAAAGCGTGAGTACGGGTGAAATGGAAGGAAATGATGCAAAAAGCAAAAAAGAGTGAGCTGGAGAGAGGAAGAATAGGACAGATGCAAGAGAAGAATCAGATGGAGAAAGACAATTTTGGGAAAAAAAAAAAAAAAAAAAAAAAGAAAGAAAGAGCCGAGCCTGCCAGAGTCACAGACAGGAACAAAGTAGGGGGAGAAAATGAGTGCAATTTAAGAAGCGAAGATTTGGAAGTGACTATGAAACGTAAGAGTGTAAAATGTGAAGAGAGAAGGAGACGAGGACAGAGGACGACACTGAGAGAACCCTATTACCTCGTAGCCCAGCCGAGCGGCTCGCTGGAGCAGAGTCTCTCCGGCATTCTTGTTCACAATCAGCCGACGAGCCTCTGGCGGGATCGGACGCACCGCGGGGGGCTCGGCAGGGGGGGTCCTGTGCACCCCCGCAGCCGCCGCCTCTGGTGGTGGTGGGACGCCGCCTGCTCCTCTGCCGTTCGCCTGGGGCTGCAGGGAGGGCGGACAGAGCGCGGCAGGGGAGCAGGGCTTGACTGGAGAGCAGGGATAATGATTAGGAGAGGCGGCTCCCTTCCTCAGAGCGCCACGCTGCTCACTCAGCTGAGGAGAGAGGGAGAGATGGGGAGAGTGTTACAGCCGCTGCCACATAGCAGACGGGACACACGTTCACACATGGACACTCAAGGGCACATGGATGAGGCTACACACACACACACACACACACACACACACACACACACACACACACACACACACAGAAGGACATGCAGTTGAGTGTGTATTAGGCATGGGACCATATGAGATGGTCATGTCTTGATTATCCAGGTCAAAATAATTGCAATTCACAATATTACGAATATAATAACAATTATAAAGTATATAATAATTATGAATATTTTGCGGCACGGTGGTTCAGTGGTTAGCATTGTCGCCTCACAGCAAGAGGGTTCCTGGTTCGAACCTGCATGTTCTCCCCATGTCAGCGTGGGTTTTCTCTGGGGACTCCAGCTTCTTCCCACAGTCCAAAGACATGCAGGTTAATTGGTGACTCAAAATTGCCCGTAGGTGTGAATGTGAGTGTGAATGGTTGTCTGTCTCTATGTGTCAGCCCTGTGATAGTCTGGTGACCTGTCCAGGGTGTACCCTGCCTCTCACCCAGTGTCATTTTATTATTGGTTGTCCAGCAGTCTGTTTGGGTGCTGTTGATAGCGTTGGGTATCTTTTTTTTTTTTTTCTTGATACTGGCGCTAAAAGGATTAAAACAGTACTTGTGCTTAAAGTGGCAAAAAATGCTTTTTTGATTGCAAAAGAAAAAGTTGAACAACATATGAATTCTCACCATTAAGCGTACTTAAATATATAATTATGAATTAATACAAACCACTATCAAAAAATTAACATAATAAATCAAATATAGTCCAACTGCAATAATTTAACACTGAATAACAATTACAGTACTAATAACAGCAAAATGTATTTTGAATTGAGATCAACAATTGTCTCCCTAACTCATGATCCAGCAATTTCTCCATTATTTATTATTTCCTGTTTAGGAGTGCCTGAGATTGTCACTGCACTGGGAGTAGCTGGTCCAGCTTAACATTGCACCTTAAATGAGCCTGGTCAGGTCCCAATGGGAGGCTAACTCTGATTGCTAACTTCAGGGTGAATCCCCTTTACTTTGATCAAAAGGTGGCAAGAAAGACAAAGGACACAAAACACGGGATCTTGGCTTGGGTCTTGATGAGGTGTAGCATTTATCCAAGCCAAGCAAAACCTAGCCTGAACTGTGCACACACTGCACTGCTTGTTTATCTTCACACGACGCATCCTAGCTATCACGCGGAACCATCAGACACTCTCTTTCAATTGCACACCAGCTATGCGCACATTCTGGAAACAAAGTGAGGCACCGAAATCTGCTGTGTGATTTGGTCTGGTTGGTACAGGTCGTTAAGGAACCAGTGCCATATTGGTACCAGGTTTAGTGTGCTCAACCCGACCTGCTGGATATGACTATCACAATTATCCTGATAATGGAAATTCACCACCATCAACTTATTGTGTCTGTAATTAGGATAAGATCTCATATTGTCCCATCCTAAGCGTACAAGCATGCACACTTGCATAAACATATAATTGTTTTAAAACAAAATGAAGTGGAAAATGTATAAACTGGTAAAAGTATGACATTCTGCCAAAATCCATCCTGAAAGAATGATTATATTTCCACTAAAGCTTGATTTTTATTCCCCTCAAAAAACAATTTCCTCTCTTATGCTCACATGATTTTTCAATACCAACTCCTTTATGTGCTTCCCACACCAGCTTAAAATATAGATGGATTTCTAATTCATAACATATATGTTAATGTATGATTATTACGTATGGAAGACGCACTATGCATCGCAGAAAAGCACACACACGTACAAGCTTTCGCACCAACTGTTCACGCCCCAAACACTGCAGGTTGGCACGCCACTTTTCTTTAACCGCTAAACCAACAGAGCCCTCGGAGCGCAACACACGAGACAGGGAGTTGCCTGCCTCTGAGAGTGTGTGTGTGTGTGTGTGAGTGAAGTGCGTGCCCTCTCAGTGGAATTCCATGTCGAAGCAGCTGTCAGGCTGAGGAGGAGCAGGGGAGGAGAGCAGCGCGGGCGGAAAACAACTAGCCTTCTTTTTTTCTTTTTCTTCCTCCCCCCTCAATTTTTCCCCATGCTCATTTTTTTCCCCTCTTTTGAACTCTGGCGCTTCATACGTTCGACCATGACTGCCACATTCCTCACTGTGTGCGAGCGAGGGAGCGTGTGCATATGTAGCCTTGTGCTTGGCGCTGAGTGCGATGTATAATTGCTCCAGGGTTTTGTTGTTATGTCAGGAATGCTCACAAACACACAGACACTCGCAGCCTTGGCACGCACTTACACACAAAACAGCGTCGATGACACACGTTCGACAATTAAGGCCAGAGACAAACACACATGCACGCAGGCGCTCCGCAGGGAGTCGATAAGGGCACCAGGAGGTCAAAGCTCTAGCAGCCCTCTAAACATTGTAAACATACTTCCTTCCTCTCTCCCTCCCTCCCTCTCCCAGCTGCATAATCAGAGGCGCCGACAGGCATACTGAAACAGACTCCGCTGCTGCAAACATCCAGACGCCCGTATCGTGGCCAGACACCCTATCAGCACTCACCTTGTCATCTTCAGCTGCTCCCAGATCAGCCACACAGCGCTGGCCTGGGCTGTTAGGTGTGGCCTCTTTCCTTTTCTCCCGCTCGCGCTCTCGCTCCCTCTGACTGGTGTGTTTGGTCTTGCACGGCCGCTTGCCCTTGGGTTTGTCTGTGTCACTATGGCGACGGGTCTTGAGGGGAGGGGTGCCTCCCACTGACGGCTCCGGGCCCGGAGAGGGGGGGCCCCTCCTGGGCTCCTTGAGGCCACGGTCACCTGAGAAGGGGCCCGGCGGGTGCGCTCTGTCCTTCAGCTGGCCGGGGGGAAGGGGAGAAGCAGCGACTCCTGGAGTGGGGAGGAGAGAGGAGGGGGAGGCAGAGTGAGCGGCTGATAGTGTGAGAGCTCGGTGGAAGGGGAGGATGGGAAGGTATTGCAAGGCCATCTCTCACCCTCTGTTGGTTTATTAATGAGCGCACAGAGCTGTCTGGGAGCGCAGCATGCCTGCTCGCTTAGAAAAAAAAGAATTAAAAAAATAAACCACACACACACACACACTTGCACAGGCTCATATAAACACCCCCGTAGTAACTTGGGCACACTCATTCACTGCAGCAAGGACAATGCTATGAGTAATCTCCCTAAACAAATGTGGCACTGTCTGGTTCCAGCCTCTTATAGTACATATTTACATGAAAAATAAAAACCTGCCCTTGAAACCACAATGTCAGAATGCTGTTTAATAGCTTAATGGAAATACATTTCCTCCTAAGGATCACTGTAAAGCATTTCAAACTACTCAGGAATGTGGTCTGAATTGTGTTATAATGGAACCTTTAGAATAAACAGTCCATTAAATCAGTCCTGGGCTAAGAACCAATGAGGAGGGGAGTTAAATTATATATCTTACTGATGCTTAAATATACAGTCACTGTCTGTGTAACCCCTGCTGCACAGGAAACCTTGCAGAATGGGAGATTCTTTACAGAGATTAATGTGTTTTATCCGATTAGCGGAGTCCTGAAAAAAAAAGGGAGAAGAAGAAGAAAAAAAGACCACAGCCCTGACAGACGCACAGTGGAATAACCACATTCATTGTAAATACACGGCTGTTGCCAGGGTGATGTTATCTAAAAAGGTGAAAGAAAAAAAAAATCAGTGGCCAATCAAGGCCTGTGGTTTCTGCAGGAAACATAAAACCAAAATCTCCCCTGCTTTATTCACTTCCTTTAATCTCTCTCCTGCTCTTTTATTCTCTCTGCGTCTGTGCCTCCCTCTGTCTCCGTTTGGGCACTTGAATAAGGGAAAGCCCTGGTTTTAATAAGTTACCCCCCCCTACTGACACACACACATGCACACACGCACGCCCACATTCCCGCCCTCCGCTTCCCTGTGACTGGTCTTGAGGGGAAAAAAGAAAGAGAAAAATCATTGATCACACATTAGTCACACTACACCTGCCCACGTGTATCTCCGCCAGCCACTTCCCTCATTCGCACTTTCATCGTCCTCACAGAGCCCACTGTACACCAGCTGAACAAAAAGCCCAAAAACCACAGGGGTGGGGGGGTAGAAGGGGGGGGGGGGGGCATTTTAGATGCCAGTCCCCAGGTCCCCGTTCTGATTCCCTGGCCTTTCCTCTAGCAAGAGGAAGTATTCTCTACCTCATTTCCTCTGCCCCCTCCCAGAAGGCTCACGGGAAATCCCCCCAAAGTCAGACGGCTACACAAGAAAGTGAAACGTGAGCCAAAGATAGATTTCCGTTACCCGAGCTGAACTCACAGATACAGTGGCGGTTTGCACGGCTGGCGGTTCATTCTTACCATTAAGTAGCTTCTCGCAGCCCCATTTCCTGTTGATCTCGGCTCTGTGCGCTGCGGCTCTATCCTCCGGCTCGCCGGGCCTAACCTTGCGCTCCCGTAGGCTCTGCACCGCGGCGACCATACGGGGCTGGGACCACGCCCTGTCCTGTTTAATAAGGGAGCCATCGGGGGAAGCTGCGCCGGCGGCGGGTTTGCTGAGTCGCAGTCCTTTCAGCTCAATGCAGACCTTGAGCTTCCGGACCTCGTCGTCGTCGTCTTCGTCGGGACTGGCGTGCTCGCGTTCATCTGCAGATAACAAAACACAGAATTTGCATAGTTTGCCATCTCGCACGTAGCCTACGGCTGTGTTTCCTGGAGAAGAGTTGTCCTGTGAAACACCTAGAAATGTATTGTTAAACCTCACCTTAAAGATAAAATAAAAGAAACTCTCGTCCCTCAGTTACAAAGGTCATGAAAAATCTAATGGATAAATTTAGCAATGCATTGCGGGCAAGCTCACACCAAGCAGTTGTGTGTCTGAGTTGACATTTAGGGCATAAAAGGTTTTCACTCTTTCAAAGAAACTGCTCTCACCTTCTGCAGCAAAACTATTGTATGTACATACCTACCGACCTGCAGACAACTGAGCACAAAAAACAAAGGCCATTAATCACTACATTCTCATGGCTTGTAAAACCGCCTCTAAGCCTCACAGTTTAACACGAACGCAGAGAGGCATGGAACGGGATGCGAAACAGGCAGATCGAGGAGTAAAAGGGGGAAGAGAAGTCAAGAATCGGGCGGAGACACAAAGCAATAAAGACCGGAGAAGCAGAGGGAGAGTTCCCCCTCCCTCTTGAAATTCACGGGGGACGGGTATTTGACTCGTCTGCCAGTGCCGGGGAGAGCGAGCGCGATACCGCATGCCAGAAAAAAAAGGAAACCCAAACAGATGAGGGAAAAAAGAAAGGAGATGAAAAGGGAAGAAAAGAGCAGCTTTGAAGAGGGTGGGTAAGCGCAGCGGAGGAACGGCGGAGCTGAAAGAAGAGAGAGAGAATGGCTGTCCCTCTTCTGCGCTTCTCTCTCTCTCTCTCTCTCTCTCTCTCTCTTGCACTCCGCTCAAAGGCAGGATTAAACACTTCTCTGAGCTGGCTGCCACACAGAGCGAAAGATGGGACAGAGAGCGGTAAAGGGGGAAAGAGCGGGGGTAGTGATGGAGCGGGTTTAAGGTGGAACTGATTGGGAAGGAGGAAGCGACAAAAGGGATGGAAAGATTTTTTTTTTTTTTAAGAACAAGGGACCGTGCTCAGCATAACGCGGGATGAAGGGGAAAGTGTGAGCAGAATTAGAGGGATGCACGGGAAGCAAATAAAAGGGTTGGGGGGGGGGATTCCTACCCGTAGATATCTTGGCTCTCTTCTCAGGATGGGACACCCTCTCTACATCTTCCCACTCAGTGTCCTCCTGCTCAGTCTTGAGGCAGAGCTGCCGTTTCCTGTTGGGTCCAAAACCAAGGCCAACCTTCTCCTCAGGGTACGCCTTCGCCGGTGTCAGAACAGGGGGCAAACAGTGACCTCCCTCTGGCTCCCTCTTCACCTTCTTGGCCACATCATTTAGCCCCGCTTGGCAGGCACCTCTGGACTTGTCTCGGGCCCCGTGCCCCGGGGACAAAGGCTCCTTCAGGTTTCCACACCTCTGCAGGACTGGAACTCTGTTGTTTGTGTACGCCGGCCGGACACCTGAGCAAAGCAGAGAGGTGGAAACGTGGGCAGGGGAGGAAGAGGAGGAGGAGGGGGGGGGGGGGGGGGGGGGGGGGGGGGGGGGGGGGGGGGGGGGGGGGGGGGGGGGGGGGGGGGGGGGGGGGCAGAGGCAAAATAAGCAACAGAAGATGAAAGGGAGACAGACATAAGGGGAGAGAATGCAGACAGACAGACCACAAACCAGACAGACAGACAGAAAGGGAGCAGGGGAAACAAGGGGGTGGGGGTGAGACAGGGTGGGGGGATTGACAGAGGGAGAATGCCAGTTAAACACCAGCCAGCTTTTATTCTGCTTTAAAGACAGGCAGTAAAACTTTGATGGGGTAAAGACTTTTTAATCTGATGCGAGCCGAGCCAGCGGGCTGACGGTTCAGTGCAGCCGCTCGCACTTCCAGCGAAGAGAGGCAAGAAAACATCCTGCGCACTCGCTGCACAGGGCGACTCCCATCCCTCAAACCCCCCCCCCCCACCACCCTCCTCCTCTGTCCTCCCCCACGGCATGACCGCACCACGCCCTTCTCACACTGAGCGTGACTCTTCCCCCCGCTCCTCGACTCCCTCTCCCTCTCTGTCTCTCTCCATGCCATAATTAGGCTCACACGTCAGCCGCGGCCTCGCTCCAACACACAGCTGGGCTCCCAGCCAACGTAACTAACCCCCCTCCTCCCCCCCTGCTCTCGCTCTTTCCGTTGCGCTCTCCCATCCGCTTTCACCCACTGACTCTCCCCCCTTCTGCTTTCTCTCTCTCTTTCTCTCACTCACGCAATCTCTGCCCCTCCTTCTCCTCTTGCCCTCCCTCTCGATCGTCTCTCCGCGCAGATAAGCACAAAAGACTTCTTGAAAATAAAACTCCCCCTCTCTGTCTCTCTTGCTGGGCTCATTCGCTTGCGCTGCCTCGCTTGTGTAAGAGTGTGTGCGTGTGTGTGTGTGTGAGAGAGCGTGTCTTTTTTTAGAGTGACCCGGTCTTGCCTCAGCATTTGCTGCAAGTGCGTGCGAGTGTGCACGCGCACCTATTGTTTGTGTGTTCCTTTCTGAGTGTTCATTTGCAGAGTGGATGCATGATGTGTGTGTGTGCATGCATCACGAGTGTGTGCGTGCGTGTAAGTGCGTGTGTGTGTGTGTGTGTGTGTGTGTGGTGCTGGGTTACTCACCCTCCCTCTCTCCCTGCCTGGTGGTGTGTTGGCAGTGTTCCAGCACTCGCTCTCTGCGCTGGCCGTCTGCCAGCTCCCGTCCTGCTGCCGCTGCCGAGGCAGACACACACACACCGCCGCCCTCCTTCTCCTTCAGCTCCAGCTCCGAGAACCGCATCATTGCCCGCTGCGCGCACACACACACACACAGATGCAGAGAAAACCCATGAAACCCACTCATCGTCTGCCCACGCCGCACACACACCTCTCTAAGCCTCAATCTGGCCTCAACAGCTACAGAAGCAATTGCGTCAGAAATCACATTGTCTTAAAATCAAAAAAAAAAAATAAAAAAAAGAAAATGCCAAAGAAAATTAAAACCCACACACACAAACGCACACAGGACAAAAAGGTAAGACAGATAAATCACAAGCATGGCATCAAGACACAGATTAGACTACTGCAGCCACTGTGAGTCCATGCGCTCTGGGGCTTAAATCCTGGCATCTCCCTTCCTGGAACATAAACATGGCTAGGAAACATATACATCTAAGCCCTGAGGCAGAGAGAGGAGATGAGAAAGAGGAAAGAAGGGAGTAGGGGGGGGGGAAAAGGAGTGTGCAGCGATACAGAGTACAAAGGAGACAGAGCCCATCAGAGGCAGATGTGATAAGAAATGTAAAGAACTGACCTCCCAGTTAGCTGCAGGTTGACTTATATTACTCCCCTCTCGTGATATGACTTCCATCTAAGCAATTAGAATGGGGGGGGGGCTCAATATATCTGTCCATCATTTCATCTTTTTTTAATGAATTTACGTTTCTCCACAAGTTTCTTTTACACACAATAGGCAGCCACAATCCCACAAAATAACACAATCAAATTAAAGTGACTCAACAGGTCAATTAACACTGCATCAAAACTATCAAATAATTTCTGAACGGCACGAATTTGAAATCAGAACAATATGTTCATTTTAAGCATGATTGATAACGCTAATTCAGTTTTAGCTGTCTCATTTAGCTTTTGTTTTTTTTCCCCAAACACTTACACATCCATTTTTTTTTGTCCAGAAATAGAGCGTTTGATAGCTTTGTGTTGCAGCTGTGCATTGACAAGCATGACACAGACAAAACCACAGTTTTCTAGGGCGCGTTCACAACATAGACAGACATGTGCAACCTATTAAGATATCCGCCTCTGAGCCGGTGGATAATGTAGCATGGGGTTTGTTTGTGTTCCTATGCTGATCACTGAGAGTCTAAAATGGACAGCTGAGTGTGTGTATCTGAATGACGGGATGCTGGGCAAGTGTAAGGGACGTTGCTATAATCATGTATAGGTGTAATGTAGTGTGTGTGTGTTAGGGTTCTTTTAGCCAATAGGGTGAGAAGAATTGTGACCTTGGACAGCAACCAGGCAGGGCAGCGTAGGCCATCAGGGGGAGGAAGGTTAGGGGAGGATAGCGACTGGCGGTGGGGGCATGCAGAAAGCCTAAGAGGAACCCCAAAGAGGGCAGCTGCTGGTTTTTAAGCACACTGCAAGCCCTCCACTGCCCCTAACCTTGGGGTTAAGCATAGCCAAAGGCAGTGTGAACTGTGAGGCTGCCACAGTCATGCTCTGAAACTACAGTCCGTGGCTCTATAGCACAGTCAGCACTAACACATGCTTTAGCCCCAAGGCAGTCACACAAGGACAAGCACGTACGGACACACAAACACGCACGCTCAGAAATAACCTTTACAATGACTGCTCGCTAATCAGCATACAGAGATGGCAGCCCTGGTTAACCTTTGAACTGCCCTCCCTGATAGAAGGCCTCAACTGGCCTTGCACCAGCTCACTAAGACAATGATAAAGTAAGGGGAAGGTCAAGCCGACGGCCAGGCCGGTAGCATGACAGCATTTATATTATTCTGTACTGTGGTGTAAATGCGGAGTGGGCCAATTTCATGCAGGGTTTGTTCTGCAGGCAGTTCTTAATATTGCAGCAAGGGATAAAGAACAGTGGCCATTGGGGATTTATTTCTGCGTGGATGTTAGAGCTGAAAGTATGTTTGAAATGTCTGCACATAAGGAACGTTGGTCATAATGACCTCTCTCCAGTCGACCACCAGCTTGAGCCCAATATATCCTGTACTGTATATGCACACACACACACACACACGCACACACAAGTGTTAATGGCCTTACCTGCAGGGCTCTCTGTTCACGGCTCAGCTTGCTGGAGTCAGCATACAGCTCGGTGGTGACACATTTAAAGCGGTCGCCAACGTAGCCTGAAGAGTTAGCAATCCTCTTGGCAAGACTGGATCTGCGACAGCCTTTGGATGAAGTCTGGCAATCCTCTTCTTCGTCCTCATCCCCTTCTCCGTGGGACTCCCCTAGGTCAACAATACTGTCTTCCTTTTCAACCTCCCCCTCGCACATTCTCTCCTCCTTTGCCACATCAGTGCAGTGCTGAATGAAGTGAAGAGCCCGGCTGTCTCTGTCCCCTTTGTCCTTACCAGAGCTGCGCTCCCCGGATGTGCGGGCACAACGCAAGGTGCTCTGGTCTTGGTCTCCAGGGTCCGGGCTGGGACTCTGTTCCTCTGGGCTCTCCTCTGCCTGGGCCAAATGCTCTGGAGAAGGTGGGGATGTGCTAGATGTCACCCCAGGACAGCCTGCGTCCTGAGGGACCTTTGGTTTCCCAAAAGGAGTTTCTGGCTGTCAGTCAGTGTTAGTGGGCTTCAGGGTGGGGCTGTGTCCCGAGTGAATCGGATAAGGATGGGAAAGGTGGTGTTGGTGTTTTGGCTCGTAATCAGTCTTTGTCATATTTTGGTTACTATGACAACATTCATTTTGGTTAAACTTGCTGCTGGTCTCAGCAGAGGGCTGTTTGTGGACTGTTGGGGTAGACTCAATATCTGTGTCTGAGTGCACAAGGTCAATGCAGACAATCTTTTCTCTGGGTGTCACAGAGGAAGAGGGGGTTTTGCTTTGATTGCCACTCTGTCCTTGTGCTCCTGCTTCCCTATCAGACTTAATTTGGCTTCCTTCGCCTATTTCTTTGTTGTGATCTCTGTGGCCCCCAGATTCCTCCACACCTCCCCTGGATTTCTCCTGTCCCCGAGGCTTGTCTGAGTGAGTCTGCATCAGGGGATGGGCCATCTCCTGTGAGTTATAAGTGAGGTATTCCCCTCCTGGACCAGCTGGGAGGTTGTGGTAGGATAAAGGGTGTTTTGCTGCCAAGTGGGTTGGGTAAAGGCTGTTGCTGCCCAGCAATACTGGGTGAGGGTAGACTGGGCCTTTCCCTGCAATTGGCAGAGAGTGTAGCGCCATGCCATCAGGGATGGGGTAGGGCAGGTATCTATTTGCGTACGCCAAACTGTGGTTCAGGTAAGCGTCACTTTGAGGAAGGTAAAGACCAGGAGGGTGACCATTCTCCAAACAGGGCCTCTTGTATGGTGCCACTTCTGGAGTTGTTTCAGCTCTCTTGGTAGTCTGGGAAGGCTTCTCCGTTCCCTCTCTGTGGTGGCCCGGATGTTCTGAATGGCTCGGGCTGTGTTTGACCCACTCGCCATTCGGTTTGGGAGAAAGAGCCCTGGAGCTGACCAGAGAGGAGTGCTGAGTGGAGGGAACATTATGGTTGGGCTCCCCTATCCTTGGACAGGATGAGCTACGCTGCTGTGGGAGTACTCTCTCCAGACCCTTGTGTTTGATGACAGAGGGTGAGGAACCTTTGGCTTGTGAAAGGCCCAGGTCTGTGTTAGGCCGTGGGGAGGGGGGCAAGCCCGGTGTGTGCTGTGTATGGGAAGGAGACGGGCTAGGAACAACCCAGGAGGAGTGTAAAGTGCTGATCATTTCTGGCCTCTCTGGGACCTTTGAAGAAGTGCTGCTGACCACAGAGTGTGGGTGGGAGGAAGGAGACAGGGACAGGTTTTCCTTTAGGAGCTCTCGGCTAGGGGGCAGTCCATAACGTGCTCCTGATGCCATAGTGTCTATCTTAACTGGGTATCCATTGTGAGGCAGCCCGAACTCCAGCATTCTTCCAGACAAATCCAAGGGCTTCTCTGCCGAGTCTTTGGTTGGTTGTGGTTGGTGAGCTGGCCTCTCAAAGTTGGGTTTGGAAGGTGACCTGCTGGGTCTCCTCTCAACCCCTGCGCTTCTGTGCTCAGGTGCTGCGTCTCTTGGCCTTGGTTTGTGGGGGCTAGGCCGGGCAGGGGAGGGCTGCTCTGATGCCATGCTGCTCACAGAAAATGGATGAGGAATGGACTGTGTGGATGAGGATGAGGCAGATATTGAAGAAGCAGAGGAGGCAGGTGGGTGTCCTATCCTAGCGACTGGCCTTTGTAAATCCAGTGAATTGTCAATGAGAGCAGGAGGAGGGGGAGGCTGGGGGAGGCGAGAAGATGCGTGAGGAGAAGAATCAGCAGGCAGACTATTATTATTCCCCCCATTGGTGCCACTAGTGCTAGTGCTACTGGTATTATTGTTGCTGCTAGAGCTCTTCCTAGAGGGAGGTCTGCTTGGTCTGCTGCTCCTGCTCGGGGACCGGTCTCTGTCTATAGCGGCCTGATGGTGCTGAGGATGAGGAGAAGGTTGGTGAAGCTGCTGTGCAAACTGAGGCGCAACACCGAGCCCCTTGTCCTGGCAGTGTACCAGTGATGTGGGGGCCACTGTGACTGCAGGAATCCTCATGGGGGGTGCCACCAGGGGGGAAGAGATAGGAGAAGGAGGATAGGGGGGCATGTAGTAGAGCCTCTCAGCAGCAGAGGCGGCTGCAGCAGGGTTGCCCCCCTGGGTTGCACACAGAGAAGGGTAGGGCAGGTGCTGGGGAAGATAGGGGTTGGGTTGGCTGAGCAAGGAGGCTTTGTACATGTTCAGAGCTGCGTACTTGGATGTGTCCATGAAGGGATACATGCTCGCCTCAGGGTAAGGGGTGAGCCACGGCAAGCGGAGGTAGCTGCCACCAGCACCTGCCAAGCCCAGTTCAGATGCCTTTTCTCCAGGCCCTACTCTGCGCTCCAAGCCCAGACCTTCAGCCCCAGGAACCAGAACAGGCTTGTGGAGACCTGGAGGGGCACCCTTGTAGAGGCCCAGGTATCCATTAGTGGGCTTACGACTGTCCAGAGAGCCATCAGGCTTGTAGATGAGCTCCGGGAGACCATCCCTGTTATAAGTGAGGGGAAGGGAGGGTGTCTCTCGGCTCTTCTCCGCTGGCAATGCTCTGATCCCTGGGTATACAACCCCACCATGGAGACGGAGACCATCATGCATCAGAGTGCCTCGGTCCAGCCCCATCGCGGCCAGGGGCGTCAACCTTGCATCCACCTGCAGCAAAAATTTCAATGAATGTGACAGTGAAAGTAGGAACTATAAAACAATTACTGCAAAACAAAGCACAAAAAGATTCCTAAATGTTTCAGGTTAGTTGCGTGCATGCACATAGTGAAACCAACCAAATGTTTATTTCCAGGTAATGGTGACTAATGTGACAAATGAGCGTAAACCACACTCAGAAGGAGCACGGGGACTTGCCATGTTTTGTGTGATGTGGTTCTCTTGTTTTAGTTCCAGGTTGGTTTGTGTCTCAGCATCGACATCACGAACAGATGTTGCCCTGTGGAGATGAGCAAACAGTTAGCAGTCAGCGCCTTGGCTCTGCCACACACACACACACACACACACACACACACACACACACACACACACACACACACACACACAGAGCTGTATTTTAATCCCACTGCCAAAAAACAAAAAAACCTGACAGGGCAAAAATGTCACTTGATGAAATCTCCATAAGAGAAATTATAATTTTAAGTACTGCACATCTTTAATTTCTGGGTCATGCAAAGCTAAATAATATATCAACATATACATTACAGGAAGCAGGCTGCTGATCCAAAGACAAGAAAGATAACAGCGCCGCTAGCTTTACTCAGCCTCGCTTTCACTCTCTCACACATACACACACAGCTCCGCTAGTCAGTGGAGATGAAAGCACCGTGTGGGCTCCCCTCCCCTCCCATCCGTCAACACCCCACAGTAACCTCCCCCCCTCCTCTCCCCTGACCACCATCCTCCTTCCCCCTCCCCTGACCCCCATCCTGCCCACCCTGTGGGCTAGACGTGCATTGTGGGGCTGCGCCTATTCAGTCACGTTCCCCATACACTGGTTTTTCCGTGCCCTCTTTGACCTGCTCTCTCGGCTGCCTCAGCCAGCGGAGCGAGGGAAGATTATACATCAGAGACCACTTCGGTGGGAGACCATTTACCGCCCGCCAACACAGAGCCACAGATCAACAAACACTCACACCAGCGAACACAGGCAAAAGTATAGTATGCAAGAGACGACGAGGCGACGATGTAAAAATGACAAGAAACCATAGATTCAGTTTGAGAGGGAACAACATAAGAAGACAGGTATAAAGATAAAAAACGTGACCACTGAAGTGAAAATGGCGTTTCTTTGAGGGTTTTTTTTCCTTTGTTTAAATAACAAGAAATGACAATAAGCAAAAAAAAAAACATCAAGATCCCTTTGAGTGTGAACTGTCCTTTAATCTGCAAGTGTTTTGTATACATTTGAATGTCTTTAAAGCACCGGAGCGTAACGGAGCAGTTATTTTATGCTAAGAGATATGGAATAAGTCACAAGAAGATCGTTATCATTATTCATTACTGCAAATTTTGGGAGATGGCAGATTTAATAATTGGTCTTTAACATTAAATCGGTGCTTTTATCAGTTGGGTGCTGATTGGGATGATTTAAGAACTTTATTAGAGTAGAGATACAGAGATGGCTCTTGCCAGGACTAAATACGATTTTGGGTGAGTAGATACACCTAATATATATTTTGAAAATGTCCGTTGTTGCAAAACATATAAATCAAATGTGAATTGTTTTGACTTTTATTGATGTAAAGCAAAAACTTTCTTTCAAATAATAGAAGCTCAGCAAGCTCAAATTTATTAAACAGCAGATATACTGAGTTTTTCCCAATTTGTATTTGTTATGGCGTCGCTTTAGTGAATATGCAAATCTACTTTTCAGAAACTGTGACAATAGTTTGCTTCTGTATTACCGCCTGAAGGATATCACAATCCAGCGAGGAAAAAGACACCGCAAAGCCATACAAATTCGGTATTCATAAAATCTTTTTTGTCCAAATGACAAAATTGAGATATCACTGAACACTCGTGAGCCTTGGAGAGTCAAGTGGCATCTTAATACTGCCAGAGTGGTCTGCCTAATTTCGAGAGGCTGTTTCAAAAACTCTCAAACAAGTGAAACAATGGGGAAAGGTGAAATCATTGATCCCACTTGGCAGATTTTATTTAAAGGGAAATATTAAAGTTTGAATATGAGACTTCATGATTTGTTCGGGTGGACGTTTTTGCAAGGCAGTTGGGGCGATGTTAAGGGAGGTAATGCAGGACCGAGGTGGGAGAGAAGTGCCTTTAAATAGTAAAGGTGCCGTGCTGACGGTGCTGAGAGCAGCAGCAGAGAAACTCGGCTCCTCGATCATCGCAGAGAAAACGCCTCTGTGCCTTCGCTGCTGCTGCCGCGCCGCTGGCACGCCACTTTTATTGCCGTGACCCGGGGCCCATTAATCAGCCTGTTGCGGGCCCCTCGGCACGTCTCCTCACTGCCTCAGCGCTCCCATCCCCCAACGGCTCCCCTTACCCCAGCTCCCCGAGGCCAGTCCTGCTTCAACAACATCCGCGCCTGACGGAACTGAAACGGTGTGCGTGCGTGCGTAAAACTAGCGCGCATGCAGCCACGTGTGCGCGTTTCTGCAAATTACACAGACAGCGTTGAGAAATCACACCAGTCCCCGTTTCCTGTGTTTCCTGGAGCGACACATTCACCTCTGTGTCTGTCTTTTACTCTCACTCATACACACACTCGCAGCGGCTCCTCTCGCTCTGAAAAGTCTGCGCTCCATGAGACCGAACATGATAATGAAAAAAATAAGCCTCTTATACAAACGCAGATGACAATGACACGCTGCCTTTACGGACATTTCCATTTAACCTAAACGCAACCTTCAGCGATGAACTATCTGTCCTTGGCGTGCACACACGCGCGCACACACACACACACACACACACACACACACACACACACACACACACACACACACACACACAGTCTGCATCTGCGTTACTTTCCCAGGAAAATAAAAAACAGTGGAAAAAAGAAAGCTGAGAGCCAACACAGGGAGGAAATTATGTGTTCTTGTGCAGGCCAGTATAACAAAAAGACCGTCTGGTGTCTTTAGGCCTGTTATTACTGTTAGTTCAGAGCCTACATGGGTCCACGGTGCATCCGTTGCCTGAGTTGTATCCCTGGCGGTGCATGCAGTGTGCCGTCAAGTGCTTGATCCTGACCTTGAGGCCCGGTGCCGCGTCTCATCTCTGCTGGACTACTATTAATATAATGGTAATGACAGGTGCCGTGGCCGCGCAAACTATACTCGGTCATGAGCACAGTGTAGTCATGAGTGTAACTACACTGTCAAACCCACATTTTTTAGATGTTGCTGTTAATTGAATGCTGCAATCGCACTACATTTTGTCAATGCTAGGCTATAGAGGCCTGCAGACAAAATACAGGACACTGTCCACAAAATATTATACGAAAACATCTGGAAAGCTTGTGTTGCCCGCAATAATTAAACCAAGGGATATCACTAGGAGGGATGGGGTTAAAAAAACCAACACACATAATATCTATGCAGCATCCTCAGGACCAGCTGTGCATCAATCAACAGTTTAGTGAAAACCGTCCTCGTGTTCACAGTGATTTATCACACATTACAGTGAATGCAAAGTCAGTCTCTTTTTTTTAAAAAAAAGCAAAACGTAAATCTTTGTTGTTGTTGTTGTTATATTTAGTGAGCTTGGATACACAAATTTAAGCCTACATGCTTTGGAAATACTGCAACATACGTTGAAAATTACAGAGAGGCTTTAAGAAAGGGTTTGTTTCAACATCTGGGGTGGGAGGACTCATATGGAAAGCGGGGGGTTGGGGGTCCGAACATTTTGAGCATTAAACACTTAATTTCCTGCTTTCTTGTGGATTTTTATGCACCACTTTGTGACTTTTCTGCATTAGTTTATGGCAAAAAATGTCTTTACTTTTATCAAAATAAAAGATCTTTTTATTGGGGCAGGACAAATTGACATGTCCTACATATTGCGGGGGATGTGTCCCCTGTGTCCCCCTTCCTGGACTCTACAGCTCTAGCTTTAAGGCAATACAAGAAAATTAAGTATTTATGATTTCAGTGAGGTCTGAACATAAAAACAGTTTGGTTATCTGACATTAGTCGCCTATAAACCGGATGCTTAGAATATTCCGGGAAGAAATCCTGCCACAAATGGCACATTATAAGTGGAAGGACGCGGAAGGAGAGAGGGGAGATATATAGGAAAGGAGGGAAAGGCGGTGTGTGCGCGTGTTGACGCTCATCCCCGCTGCTAAGAATAGTTTGCGCAACAAACAACTCCCGACGGCCGTCCAATCCATCACACTGGTCGGCGGCAGCAGCAGGCGGGGGGGAGAAAGGGAAGGGGGGAGCGCAGCGGTCGGAGCTGCGTTTATAAACCAGACCGCTGGAGCGGAGCCCCGACTCGCACCATTAAACAGAAAACCACCGGGTGTTTTTAGCGGAACCTCATATAGCTCTGTATATTGTGCGCCTTTTTAAAGGGGACAGAGAGAAAACAAGGACACAAGGACAGGCCGATGAGGAGAGAGAGAAGGGAGAGAGGAAAACAAAGTCCCTCTTTTGCCGTAGTTTCCTGTTTCTGACGACAATTACTTGAACTCTCCGTGACCCTCAGTGGAGCCTACGCACCGGCACCGCTCATCATTTCCTCCAGAGCTCCAGAGCTGAGGCCTCTCTATTCCCCGCGCAGCGCAGTGGCTGCGTGCGCACCGGTAATATGTGTGTATGAGAGAGGAAGAGACAGAGGGACGATGGAGTTGGGAAGGTGGTTGTATCCACTATAGCAGCTCCCTCTCTCTTCACAAGTTGACACACGAGTAGACACGCACATTTAAAGCACCAAGACTCATCCTGTGTTTATGGCTTGTTCTATAGTAACCTACATCACGGGAAACCGGGGCTGTGGGTCTTGCTGTGTAACGGGAGTGGAGGCACCCTCTCGCTCTTTGTCCCTGGAGCTTTGCCAGGCTCTCTGGAGCGCAGAGCTCCGTTCAGCTCTGAAAAAATGCAGTGTGACGCAGGATAATCTCCGCAGCGACGGGGGTGGGGTGGGCATAAACAGGGATTAAATGCGGGCGCGCGCACACACACAATCACTCAAAGCACACACACACTCACACCACCGCGACGCTGTTTCATGTGTGTGTGCGCACACCCAAAACGAAAGGCATTCTGCGCACACTGCCGGTGAACAAAATAGAAATCAGCGGGAACAAATCTGAGAAAACACACAGAGAGGAGCGCGCGGACCCAAACTACAGCCTGACTACTAAGTACACAGCCTCGGGGCCTCGCTCTCACCAGCATCAACACCCAGCATCATAAAGAGTGCGAGAGAGAACGCGTGCCCAATTTTAATTGTTATTGATTATCAGGC